AAACTCAAGGGCCTTGGGGGGGGGGGTGTTTAGTAGGGTGAGGGACAAGAAGCCAGAGGTGCCACCTTAGACCTTCAGGAGGGATGATCTCTTACTTGGCAAGGGTTGGTAAGTTTGATCAGGACCTTTTAAACACCTCCCCAACTTTGATTTAAGACACCTTGTCAGAGGACTGACAAGAGCTGGAGGAAATTAGCTTAGGAAAAGGTGTCTTAATGAGAAGATTGCCCGGTGTGGCAATGAGTTCTGCAATCTGGTCGCTGTTGTACAGGATGAATAATGATAAGCTGGTTCAAGATCAGGGATTGTTTACTGTTTACTAACACAAAAATGCAGCAGCTTGGCCTGCTCCTTTCCTGCTCCTCTTCCTCGATAGATTTCATCTTCACTTTGGCTTATTTCTTTTTTCCTGTGACTCTCTCCCAGGGTGGATTTGAGTTAAATCAAGTCGATTTAAATCACTAGTAAAAAGGCTTGATTTAAATCGAGTTGCTTTAAACGATAATTTTTAAAGAGCAACTGTCATCTCTGTCCTGCAGCAGCTCCTCCTCTGACCCGCTGTTGACTCACCGACAGTCCCATTCACTTTAATGGGACGGCTGGTGATGCGGCACTGAGACAACAAGGTGAGGGACGTGGCAGGCAGCAGGTGCCCAGTAACAGGCACTGCCCTGATGGATCTGAAATGACAAGTGCTCTCTCAATGTAATTCTTGCTGGTAGTTACAATCTTTAATATTGCAGAGCTTGGGTTCATTGAATGAGTTTACAAAAATGTAAATATTGCAGAATATACTACATAACTAAGCTCCGTTTCATGCTGAATAAACTAAATTATTAATGTATCTTAAATAGAAAACTACCTTTAGATAGATTGTTACTCCAAAAGCATTTTATTAAAATAAATCTGATAACAATCAAAACAATCCGATTTAATTTTCTTTAAAAAAAACCTTTTTTTAAAAAAAATCATCCATTTTTACCCACCCTGATCTTTCTGCTCTTCCTCTGGCCATGGCTGTCTGGTGACTCCTTTTTCCTCCTGCAGGGCTCAGAATCGGGCTCAGATCATCCCCACCGAGCAGCCAAGCGGAAGAAACGAAACCACTCGGAATCCGCAGGTTCCGGGGCCTCATCTTCACCTGACTCAGGTAAGGCTTGGAGTGGATGAGAAACTGTTTAGCTCCATAGAAAAGAAGCCCTTACGAGAAACTAGGAAACCAGCTTTGTATTTGGGGGAAAAAACATGTTAATTCTAAAAAACAAATCCACAGGCATTGGCTTGTTTAGGACAGGCAACATTATTGTCACTTAGCAGTTGCACTTTCTGTCTTTGATGAATATATTTTTTCAGCCTCCAAGGGCCACAGCAACATGTTGTGGATGTAGAGAAAGTTCAGGGAGTAAATTTTGGGGATGTGTTTTCGCATAACACTTGTGGACAGTTAAGAGAAGAAGGGGCAGCTCAGGCTTAGGAAAGTTGTCTGTGGCTCTTGTCGTTTTTGTCCGAATGACAAAAGCTTTGTGGTGTCAGACGGTGAGCTCTATCCGTTTGGGACCATCTGCACAATGTCAAGAATGATGTTCAAAAGGGGCTGGGCGCACAACACATTATTTTCATCAGGCTCTCCCATTTGACAAAACCTCCCCATCCCAGGCAACACTACTGGAGTCACAACATACCTATTTTAACTTGTTTTAAAACTCATAAAAAATGATGGGCTAAAATTCTTTTCACCAGTACAACTTTCAGCAGTGTGTTCTTGAGACTGTAAAAATGAGGAAGCTCCCACAGCATGCAAATTGCTCTTCCTTAATTTGATCAGAAAAACCCATTGATAAGGCAGCATCTGCCTCACCCCATCCCCCAATCTTCGGCCACCGTCCCAGGATGTCTGCAAGATCCTTGGCCTGCTTGCCGTGGCATCACTGCTTGGGAGTGGGCTGAGGTCATCCCAGGGGAAAGCTGGGTTGGCCCATCTCCCTGTCTGCACAAAACTTTCTGTCTTCCCTCAGAGCACAGCCCCAGGCGTGCCAAGAGGCAGAAGAAGAAGAGCAAGAAGAAACGCCACAAGTCGGTGAGTAGGCGGTGGCAGCAGAAGGGAGGCAAGGGGAGAGATCCAGATGGAAAAGGACTATTCGCATAAAGCCAAGCTTCTTGGGAAAAGGGGGGGGGGCATTCCCCTGGCAGCTCCCTTTGCACGGGTCTTGGCCCACAGAGTAGGAGCAGGTAACACTCTCTGGGGATTCAAGGGAGCACCCAAGGCTGAAGGGACACATGTTCTGAAGTGGCATCAAACCCACTTGGCAGAGTTTGGTACTTTGCAACCGTTTTATCTCAACGTCTGCATTGCTGGGTTACAATCTCTGGGGCTCACTTGCCTTCCTTGGTTGTGCTAGCCTTCTGTCACCCAATGGGCCGGTCACCCAGGTCCCCTCCTCCCGGGCCCCACCCACCCTGCAAACCATTTCTTTTACAGAACAGCCCTGAAAGCGAAGCTGAGCACAAGAAGGAGCCAAGCCGGGCAGAAGAGTGGGAGCGAGGGAAGGCGCCTCTGCGACCTGAGGGGAGGGGCCACTCCCCTCCCCGGGGCACTCGGAGGGAGCGGGTGAGACTTGGTGGGGGGGTTGCGAGCAGAATCCCAGCCTAGGAATGGCTTCTCCTAACCCAAGAGGTGGGAAACTATGGCTCCTTTATGACTCGTGGACTTCAATTCCCAGAATTCCTGAGCCAGCATGGAATTCTGGGAGTTGAAGTCCACAAATCATAAAAGGGCCACAATTTCCCAGCCCTGTCCTAACCCTTTCGGATGGGAAATCGAAGACCACAAATAGGTGGGATGATTAGGGTGGAATTTGGGTTAGATATGGGTTTTTTATATATATATTAAATATAGTAATATGTTTTAAATATAGTACTATGTTTCATCCTCAAAAATGACAAGAATTGCTCTCTGTTTTCAGCAGTCTCGATCTCTTGGGGCTCTAGGGGCCATGTAAAGGGAATTGCACATCCCTGCTTTAGGACATGGAGGATGGAGGAAGATAGAAAAAAGGAAGGCTTGGAGGGAAGGCTGGATGAGGGATTCTTACCTGCCTTCTTTCTGCTGTCAGAGTGGTTGGGACACCTCAGAGAGCGAGGAGCTGAGCGAAGGGGAGCTGGAACGTCGGCGTCGGACTCTGCTGCAGCAACTGGGTGACCAGTAATTGACCCCTGCCTCTTTTGAGGCATCCCCCTCAACACCAATGTATGAGAAGCATTCAGTCCTTGTTCCTGTGGCAACTCTGCCTTGTTTTGGCTTTGGTGGCCTCCAAGCCAAGTGTACGCACTGCTCTTGCTGGACCCCGCCCGTTGGGTCACAGTCTTCTTCATTACGTTCACCTGCTTCTAAGAGGGGAGCAGCTGCTCCTGCCCATTGACAGCAGTCATTTCCAGCGACACTACCTGTCTACATCAAGCATCAGGACAGGGAGGAAAGTTCAGGTGTGCAACTGGAGGGCATCACCAAAATTGAAACCCGGCTCTTGGATCATCCAGCAGAAGATTGGGGGAACTGCACCTGAGCATCAGAAGGAATGAGGTCTGTCTCCACTCAGACTTCACCCAGGGCCACTCTAGCCTAGAGCTTCCTTTGGCCTAGATGCAAAATGGTGGCAGGAAACAGCTAAAATACACCGTCAGTCTTGTCTAATCTGAAGACAGGAATAGGCTACATGGTCTTCTGGAAGGTTATCACTGTGACTGGATCCTTTTCCCTGGTTGCGGTATCCCCTTGTGAGTTAAGGATTTAATGGAATTTTTAAAACAATATTTATAATAAATCTGGACTGAAAATACCAATCTGTGGCCTCCTGTAGAAAATTTTAGTTTATATTGGTTCCAAATGATTTTAGAAAAAAAAAAACCCTCAAAAGAATATTTTCATAACCTATTGGACTGGATCTAATCCCCCAAAATAACAGAGGACTTGAAGGTGTGCTGGCAGGTATATCCTTAAAAAAGGGAAGAGAGGATATGCAAGTATCCTAAGTTGGTACATGTGGCAAAGTAGCCATGCTGGGTGTATATAAAGTGAGCATGAAATTCATCCATAATCATTGTGTGAATAAAACAAGCTAAAAATGCTGATCAGATTGCTGATTTCCACATTTTAAACTGATGGATGGCATACTTCCGTATTTATAATCATGTACTCAAATTTATTACGTGTACTTAGATTATTTCCACAAATTGTTCCCTTACAATTTCTTTTTCATAAGCCAGCTTTTTCTCAAAAGTTGACCTCCCAATTGACTAGATCAGGGGTGTCAAATTCAAATTTCAGTGAGGGCCACATCAGGGTTGTGTTTGATCTCGAGGGCGGGTGTGTGTGTGGGTGGGGGGGCATGGAAATGCAAAAGGAGAAACATTTCTCAGTGTCTCCTTGCCTTGTGATCAAATGTCACTTTTGGTAGTAATTTGTTTTGCTAGCACTCTGCCAGCAAAAACAGCTCAGGAGGGCTTGCGGGCGCCCTTCCTGAGCTCCATTTTCAGCTGCCACAGCCTCCTCCGACATGCCAATTGCCACCAGATTGTAGATCAGCACCCAGTTGGCCTGATCCAGGCCAAGGCACTGCGTTCCAGTCCTTTGCTGTTTCCAGGGTGGCCCCGCGGGCTGGATTCAAGCTTTGAGTTTGACACCCCCGGACTAGATAATGGCTACCATCTCTGGTTCAGAGAAGATGAACTTCAGTAAAAGTGACTTTAAGAGAATTTTGACCTCTTTTTCAAAGTATATTTAGGAATCCCAAGAAATCTGAAACATTCAGAGATGGGTCTGACCATTTTAGTAGCTTTCTCAAGGCATACTGATATATTCCATTCGGCATCTCTTAAATGAGCAACTAACTGTAAGGTGTTTTGTTTTGTTCTTGGCGGGCGGGGGGGTGGGTGGGAATCGCACAAACCAGGGAGGTGAAAAGACACATTAATTGGCAATAAATGCAAAGGTGTATAGCCTTTGGTTCTGTTTTATTTTTCCCCCTTCTCCCATTAGTAGAAATTCTGTACAGTTCAAGAGGAAGGAAGGTATTTGGCTTACAGTATAACCAATAATTTTTCACATGTACAAAAAAGTTACATCAAGCTACACAAAAGGACTATGCTGAAGTGATTATGCTGTAAACTGTCCAGAAGTAACACCAAGAATACTCCTGCCTGCTTGGAATTAGCATTGCCATGAACAGGGTCAGAAACCTCTGGGAGAAAGCAGAGTGGTGGAGAATTGGTCCCACTTGGCTTATTGGAGGACAATATTAAGTGTTCGCTTCAGAAATCGAAGTGGCTTCAACCCCAACCTTCTCCCCGGGTTTTCGATATAGCATTGAAATAGTGTCAAATTCATTCTTAGTTCTAAGGGTTTTTTCACACTTGAAATTTTTCATGACAAGTTTTCATTTTACAAGCTGGATCTTAATTTCCCATGCTGGAAAAAGCAAACATTCTGAATGACAGATGTCTTTTGTCCTTTGGCTGCACTGCAGCTGGAAGCTTTGATGTCTGGCCCTTGTGCCAGACGAAAAGCAAAGTAGCCACCACATGTCCTCAAGATAATTGTGCATGCATTGCTTTTACTGATTGTTTTCACAATGCCACTGTTCTCTGAAGAGGACCGATGTGTGCTGACCTTCCCAGGGAGACACCCATCATCTTGTTGCTAAGGGCAGCCATCCAAATGTGTCTTGGAAGCACAGGCATAAGTTGCCCTCCTGGGTGTCTCCAATAATTGCATACATACAGGCCACCATCCTGAGCCCCTTGGATGTAGAAGCAGCATAAAGTTCCTGCTGTCATTCTATAAGGAATAAGCCAGTGAAGACACATTGATCATGAAAAGCATATGCATTGTGTGTGGATTCATGCCACAAATGTATAGTGGGTTCACTCCACGAATGTATAGCTTTAAGCCATCGATGTTTGAGATGACGCGTTATATTAGCATTCACAATGCAGTTCTAGGCCAGGCAGCTTCAAAATGGACACCCTTGTGTTCAGGGTCCTTTATCTCCAAGTGAATATGTGAAAGCAATCTAAAAATATGCCTGACGGTATTGAACATCAAGATAAGGAAGAATCCTTGATCTCTGAGCCTCCTTGCAAGCTAAGTAGTTAAAAGAGAGTAACCAAGACTGAACAAACCCTGAATCAAATTAGCTGCATAGATGTTGAGGTTATGAGTTTTGTAATCCTGCCTGGGGTGGTATGTTAAAAAAGCAGCCTTTATAGGAACTACCTAGAAATAATGCTGACACCCTACCCCCCCACCCCAACTTTTGCAATGCTACTTGCAATTTGCTGCTGCTCTTTGTCCAAGGGTTTGAGAGTAAAAGAACCCTTATTAAGCTTGAGGGTTGCATGCATTACACACTTCCCGGCCTTTATCAAGTCATTACTCAGCAGTTGTTCAAATTCAGAGTTTTTGGCACACATTCAGAAGCTTGGCTAATTGTGGTTCCCCACTCTGTCTCCATTGTTTTAGCTTAACTTTTCTCAGTCATTCCTGTACACTATTGTTCTGTCTCAATCACACACAGTACATACAGATATTTGTACTTTAATTCTTTTCATTGCCTGATCTTGGATGGATGCTCTTGGATGGTGGGCATCGGAGGCAACATTTTACTAGTTATAGGACTTGATTAAGTGATTATAAATAAAGAGCCATGAATGCTCAAAACACAAAGTGAAACATCTTGATGACAACTGGGAGCAGAATTCCGTCTTTTTAACCAGTAAGCCAAGTCTCAATGTAGTTTGCTAAGAGTGGATCAGGAGTACAGTTACATAGAAGCAGCACTAAGGTTAAGACAAGGTGCTATCCATTCTGTGTCCCATCAACAAGAACAGGTAGAAATGGGATAGCTAGCTCTCTCGGCATGTTTATTTTCCTCTTTGCAACAAGACACACAGATAAGAGAACCACGGGGCCAGGAATAGAGTTACACATTAATCAAAGGATACTCATCACTTTAGGGGTTAGATACACGCCCCCTTCTTTAAGCAAGTAAGTGTGACTGAGTCAGTGGAGCTGTCCCTAAGCCAGTGGTTTTCACATGCATAAACACTGTAGTGGATGAAGAGGTAAGGAAATGTTATGCTAGTCACAATTTGCCAGGTATAAGAGGCAGATGACATCTTTGACTGAGAGAAGCAATGACAATGTAGCATAACCTTCTCTCTGCCCCACCCCACCCTATCCTCAAAGCAGAGATGGCTGGTTCGTATTTGGCTGGTGGGAGATTCTATCTTAACCATATTATTAACCCCCCTCCCCACCCCCGAAACGATACTAGAATTTTGAATACTGTGTTTTAATGTTAGAAGAATTTACTCAAAATTTTATATTAAGGGACCAGAAATAAAAGGCAACCCCCCACCTCCCCTTTTCCATATACTGTCACAGAAGGAATGGAATGATGAAGTATACCGAAAGGGAGGGAGGGAGGGAGGGAGGGAGGGAGGAAGGAAGGAAGGAAGGAAGGAAGGAGAATCAAGAGTTCTATTCCATAAAGTGCTAACACTATGCGATCCATTCACCTTTGTCGTGTCCTGTTCTAAATCTGGGGTAAGGCTACAGTCCTATGCCTCCCCGACGTGGCTTTCCCTGTGCAGACAAGCATCAGAAAGTCAGACCATTGGCTTATCATCCAGCAACTCCGTTTTTGCAGCACCTCTCCAAGAATATCGCAGGAAAAGTGACTTCTCCCAGCCATCTGAGATCACTCTAAAAGTAGAACCTGAAATTTTCACTGATACAAACCATGCACTTGGCACAGATATTGATTTCTCTTGAAATTCAAAGCCATCTCCTAAACCACTGGCCTTAAGAAACAAAATTCAAATCCACAAGGAGAAATCTTACCAAGCATGCTAAACCTGCCAGAGCGCCAGCCTTTTTCTGGGTGTACAGGCACTGTGGCCCTGAGAGTTGCATGCAGGAGGTGAATGAAGGCCATACACCTGTATCCACCTCTCTGCACTTTACCACAAAGCCTCCCTTCTCAGCAATCTCAGTGGGACTGAACTTGCTGGGTAGTTCAGAAGTTCTCTACTTCCCAAATAAGAGTAGAACTCGTGGGCCTGATGTTCCTAGCAGACCTAGAAAACATGGAACGGAGGACTCTGAAGAATAAGCAGCTGTTACAACGTAAGAAAGAAAGGCAAGATCAAGGGGAGGCTGGCTGTATTCATAAAGGGCTGCACCAAAGGCCCGAAGGCCCAATGGAGCCCACTTCTATTTTCCACATAAGGCACTGGATTGGTCGCAGGAACCATGATAATTCTTTGGCACAGTTTAATACAGGAACTTCATACAAAGGATACTTTTGGCAAAACAAATGCTCAATATAGCTTCAGGTGTGTCTGATCCAAGAGACCTTTGGTGTAATTGCCCAAGACATCACAGCTATTTAATAACCCCAATTATCCTCATGTCTTGGGGGGGCGGGCAACATTATACAGGTGCAATCTGTTAGGCAAATACTCTTCTGTGAAGTTAAAATCATAGTTCATAAATGTCCATAAGACAAGAATAGTAAATGATCTTCTCTAGATTAAGGCTTCAGAAGCAGAGACAGCTTCATAATGCTAGAGTAGAGGCAACTTCATCTAAAGATCTATTTGGTGAATAAAACTCTGTATCACCTTTGCCAACTTTATAGACTCCAAATAAATTAGCCATGCTGACTCCCTCAAAAAGGGTAGTTCAACACATCTGGATGGTACCAAGTTGAAGAAGACTAATCTACGGAAGCCCTATTAATTCCCTACCTGCAAAAAGTGCTGTAAAACACAAATGGAGTCAAGTTGGTTCTCTGAATTAAAACAGTTGAAGAACCTAACCATTGTCAAGTGGCTTTATCCTAAACTGTTAATACCTCAAAATCTTTGGTCAAAAGTTATCGGGCAACTTAAGAGAAGTTAAAGCAATTGTCTCAAAGCATCCAGGCTGAAACAACAAGCCTAGCTTCAAACATCAGGACAACAATTATTGTAAATGCATGTTGAATTTGAGATAGTTCCAACCTGGACAACCTTAAAGGAGGAGGTGTGGGGGAGATAAATGAGTTCTATCTCTTGGCTCACATAAGATTCATAAACAACTTAGTTCAAGATTCAATGGCTATATTTGCATAAATTGTTAAGTTTGGTTGGCCTTCATGTCAGTTATGGTTTGTTTATGGTTTAGTGAGCTATGTAATCCTATCCCATAGTTTCTGGTTCAACATATTATGATAACCCAGAAATTGTTTACTTCAGTAACCAGGTTGAATCAATCCAGCCATGAGGTAATATTTATAGATAAGTTTTTCAGCGCAGGATCTCCTGAAACTATGAGGAATTCCATTTTAAAAAGGCTTACTCCAAAGTAGTTCAGGGAATTCTGCCCCATTTTTTCTTCTTGATGATGATGATGATAGGAAATGATGCCATTTACCTTTCATTCAATGAATAAAAAACAGTCCCCATATCATTCATGAATTAAAACCACTTGGCCCAATTCATCAAGAATAACCTTCATGCATAACTTAATTTCTACTTATTTTGAAAGCTTCAATAAGCATAATAGGCAGTGCTACATATTGTTTGGTCCACCAAATATAAAAAAAAACAATTGAGTAGAACATGCCACATACAAATAGGAAGCAGATTTTCACCCATTGGAAAAATAGCAAGAGTTTCTTTAAAAAAAATGAGATAGTCTGTAACCTACCCAGGATGTTTCTTGAGATCCCCAAAGGGTTGGCTAGCCACTATCAATTCCCTGCTGTATCAACACAGTTACTTTTGTGCAGTTGAGACATGAGACTTTGGTCTTATTTCCCCACCTCCCCACCCCCTTTGGAAGAAAAGTTCCAGTGGTTTTCCAAGGCCACCAAGGCCTAGCTTTCAAACTCCCAGAGTCAGCTCTCACAGCCTGTTCTAAGAAAACCACACAATTGCAGAAGACTGCTCCTGAACAACAACAACAACAAAGCTTCTCCACAAGGCCTGATCTGTATGCAAAGGCCTACTACCAGAGACTGATTTTTTCCCTGCTGCAACACATCAGGGCCTAGCAATAATAGTGCTCATTGTCTCCATCCATTAAAGACAAGTTGAAGGGTCAAAGTGCAATTCTGGTTTGGATGCTCGAGGCTTGAGGCGCTAGAGGAGGCTGCCAGGCTCCTGCTGCCCAGGGCCCTTCTCAAAAGCCAGAACAGTCTCATCTGTCCAAGTTGACTTATTGATGGGCTGCAGGAGCAAAGGACTGGTAGGAAGGAACATGTTATGTACAGATTAAAAAAATACATCTTAAATTATAAAAGAGTAAGAATAATACTGTTGCGGGAAGGCACTTTTTTAAATGTCCCTTGGATCCTTCAGTTGAAAGTCTTTGAAAGAACGGAAGTTGCTTCTTTGGCAAAAAAGAACAAGGTCGGGGCCACCGGAGTGCAGCATTCGCCAGTTGGAAAGGCAGGGCATGTAAGAATCTACAGGAGAAAGGAAAAGGTGGTCAGAAAGGAAGCAGGGAGTCCACGAATGAGGGATGCTCTTCAGATATTTAAATTTAGTAGCTGGAACAATGGGGTTGTACAATGAGCCAGATACATTATACCAAGGGTCTTCAAACTCGGCAAGTTTTAAGACTTGTGGACTTCAACTTCCAGAATTCCTGAACTAATGTGACTAGAAGAGGAATTCTGGGAGTTGAAGTCCACAAGTTTTAAAGCTGTCAAGTTTGAAGACCCCTGCATTATACAGTTAGAGGGGATCGATTGGAGACTGCTGGCTGCTGCGTGAGGCAATCTGCACTGGTTTTGGTTGCTGTGGGTGTGGAAGAGTGAGGGGGAGTTTCCCTCCCCCCGCCTTTTTTCTTCTGTGTGCCCCAGGTGCTCTGTGATTTACCTCATGATGACCCTGTTTGCCTGACTCTCTTGTTTGATGTGTGTGTGTGTGTGTGTAAAATATTTATTTATATAAAACTATAAGTTCGCGTCACTTCCAAAGGACACCTGCTGCGCAATTCTCTGGCAGATGCTCTGAAATTAGTTCATTTTGCTGCCAGTTGAGGTGGAAGAAGGCAGATGACAAAACCACTATTCACGTCCCCCAGAGGACTTTTCACAACCCATCAAGGCTACACCCTTCTAGCCCCTAATGAAGCATTTTGCTTTACAGATACAACATTTTTCCCTTACAGGTGCTGTCCTTTGACTAAAAAAGGACTTCCGCCTTCCTCCAGTAGAAAGAGTTGGGGATAAAGCAACTGCCAAGTCTACTTATTCACTTGGTGCCCAAGTGCAAATCTTTGGTTGTTGTTAATCCATGTAGACACCAAAGCTGAAATTAGGCTCCAGGACCCAGAGAGCTGTGTTTTCTTAATCACTGCTGTGGATGAATTGAGGGGCAACTAGAGGCAAATGGTTCTTGCTGCTATGGAGACAGATTAGAACAAAAATTCTTAGACAATTCTTTAAACCAAGAGCAAGGCAACGGGAAAGAGAAGGAAAACTATTTTCTATCCATGCAAGACACTCTAGGACTACATAAAGACTGGAAAAACACTGCACATTTAGCCTTATGGGAGCCCTGGTGGCACAGTGCTTAGAATGCAGTATTGCAGGCTAACTCACTGCTCACATCCTGGAGTTTAATCCTGACTGGCTGAAGGTTGACTCAGCCTTCCATCCTTCCGAGGTTGGTAAAATGAGGGCTCAGACTGTTGGGGGGAATATGCTGACTCTGTAAGACACCCAGAGACTGCTGTAAAGCACTATGAAGCTGAATATAAGTCTAAGTGCTATTGCTATTTTCTGGATTATGACAGTCTGAAAAATACCTGAAAAATCACTCAGAATTATCTCCCCTCCTGCAGCAAACACTGAAGTAGAAAGAGGCCCATTTGTATAAGGCCAACTCCTAAACTACATGGCTAAATCTGAAGTGCAGATTTCCCTATCTGTCCATAAACATCGTATTGCATGCTGCTTAGTAGAAATACAAAACCTAGCTTCACTAGCCCAGGCTAACATCTCAAAGTGAGGAAGGCCTTTCCAATCAGCTATGACCTGACATCCTTTAAAGCAGGGGGTGGTCTCCAACCTTGGCAACTTTAAGACTTGTGGACTTCAACTCCCAGAATTTCTCAGCCAGCAAAGGAATTCTGGAAGTTGAAGTCCACAAGTCTTAAAGTTGCCAAGGTTGGAGAACCCTGCTTTTTAAAGGACTCCATTTCCCTCTTTTGAGTGAGCCTCTAGCGCGCTCAACTTTCTGCTTTGAGCCCACTTTGCCTAGCCAGTCCTTATATGGAAAAAGACAAAGTTCTGAAGAGGTTCCTTCAGAAACTAGAAAACATTTTTCTGCTTCTTTTGACTCAAAAACAGGGTCAGCCAAAAGATGACTCAGCAGGTGGTCTGGAAGATCTATGGATACTTCAACTACGCTAATCGTAAGCTAGGGCATGCCTCCTTCCAGGTTCAGCTTCTCTTTCTCCAAAACACGTACTTAGAATACAATTCATTTCTCAATTTTCTGGGAGTGAACTGCCCGGACTCAAACGGAATCATTTAGACATGACTAAAATTGCTTTCTTTCTCTCCTTTCCGTTCAACAGAACCTTGGGAGCTGGGTGATTGAAAAGGGAAAGAAAATCTTTCTCTCTTCCAACAGTGTATTGGATTTATGCATTTCTGTATTTCTATGGTAGACGTCAAACCTCTGCCACCTGGTTTGCCTTGAACTAATATATTCCTTTGGCTAGGAGCACTTAATTATATAGTTGCATCAGGAAGAACTATGAGGTTAACTGTGGCATCCTTGGTGCTTTCTGAGCTGGGTTAGCGATATGAGTTTAGGCCTAATTAAGCCTAATTTCAGATTATCACAATCCAGCAAATAGCAATACTATAGCAATAGCACTTAGACCTATAAAGGTAGTCCTCAAGTTACAACAGTTTATTTAGTGCTGTTCAGAATTACAAAGGCACTGAAAAATGTGACTTATGATCATTTTTCAGAGTTACAGCCTTTGCAGCATCCCCATGATCATGTGATCAAAATTCAGATGCTTCAGATGCTTGTTCCTGTTAATGATGGTTGCAGTGTCCTGGGCTTATGTGACTATCTTTTGCAACCTTCTGACAAGCAAAGTCAATGGAGAAGTCAGATTCACTTAACAACCAGGGGACTAACTGTTCAGTTACTGTGATTCACTTAACAAATGTGGCAAGAAAAGTCGTAAAATGGAGCAAAACTCACTTAACGAAAGGTCTCACTTAACAATGTACATTTTGGACTAAATTGTGGTTGTAAGCAAGGGACTACCTATATATACCGCCCCATATTGCTTTATTGCACTCTCTGGGGAGTTTACAATGTTCACATTGTACAGGACAGCAGCATCCAGGACCGAGCCAAAGGCCAGTTTCCCAATGGTCACAGCCAATGTTCAACTTAGTCATCAAAGCGCACCCTTTTTCTTCACCCCAGGATGTTTAGGTGAGTCTTAAAACCTACAGACCCCACATCTACAATCTAAACTGATGCAGTCTAACTTTAGCAAAACAATGAGCCACTGGCATACTTTGGCCTCCAGCAGAAGTCCAGCAGAAACTGGTTTTGGGGAGGTTTTCTTGATTAGGCGCTAAGCGGATACCATTGCCACCCCCAATGAGTGTTTCAGCAGAACCAGCTACCCCCAACACCATCCCTTTAAATCAAGGGTCGATTTAGTCAGCTAGTATACTGTATTAATGCGATAAGGTGATCCTGGGAACAGATGACAGACTGAAACATGCAATCAGGAGAGGATATCCGGGATAATTTTGTCATGCCAACCATGCAGGGATAAGAAAAATGGGTTGAGTCAATGCAGGGATTCTCAACAGTGAAGGGCAAGGGGGCATCAACATTTTTTAGGAGGGCTCAGTGGTTCTTTTAAAGCTATTATTATTTAGCATTTTCTTTCGAAAATACCAGAAAGTTAGCGGGTGGAGTAGGGAGTCTGAAAATGAATATTTATGGGGAAAAAAAAGCTCTGGTCTGAGCCAATGCCTAAGGGGAAATAGAATGTGTGGTTGTTTTTTTTCAAAAGAAATGAGGAGCAGGGATTCTGGCAAGGCCATTATGCAGGGAGATGGTCAAGCCGACCCTGCTGGAGTTCCCCCCACACACACCTTTTTTTGTTCAACCTCTGACATCGAAGGCAGATCCCCAAGGGTATCAGCTGCTGTTGGGATTTCTAAGCAACTGCTGCCAATTCCACAGGGCAATTCTGTTCCTGCACAGAGGGGGAGGTTGTTTCTGTGGAGCAGGAACGGATCGAGGGGAAGGAGTTGAGAAGCCCTGAGCTCATGGGAGAAGGTGGGAAGGCATGCGAGAAGGAATTCTTGGGATCCGTGGCGGAGAAGGAGTTGCATGCAGAAGAGATCGCAACTGACGTGGGTACCTTTGATGGGGGTGTGTGAGTGGAGCTAACAGTTGGGCTCCTCGTGGTGAGATGGCTCGCAGAAAAAGCGAGACCCCCGCTTCGCCGTACGGGCAGTGAAGGGGACACTCTTCAATACTGTGGGATGGGAAGGGACGGATGGACAGAGACATAAAGACGTCAGATAGATTGTTCAATATGCAGTGCACCGCTTAAGGTAAAACTGTGTGAAATGACACTCCAAGGATGTGCACCATGGCCCATAGGGCTACAGACACCAACAACGATGCAACCAATGCTGGAAAGCCGGCATTTCTGTTCTTTCCAGGGCAAGTGGCTCAAAGCCATCACATCAGAGCCGGCTTGGAAGAAATCCTCTGCACAGGAAAATTGATCATTTCACTAGCTTTTTTTGGTTCCCAACGAAGAGAGGGGGGGAAAAGCAACGTTTTCTCTCTGCCCGCTTTTTCTTCTTCTGCCCTAATAAGCAGGTTTATGGATACTGAAAGCATGAAAAGACAGGCTGAGTTGAACACCTTTTAAGTGGGTAATTAGGAGACCTTCAGTTCACACCATTTCATTCTCACTGTCTTTCTCTCACATAAAAACATGGATTACTAACACCCGGGGGTAGGAGAGAGAGATCAACACCTTCCTTAACCCCACTCCTGGTTTGAGAAGACTCCAAATCACACTTTTTCAGGAGCACCTATAATTATTTTGTCAGAGCTGAGTGACAGCTGTCTGGCAGTTCTCAGATTAACCAAAGTCTGCTCACAACATGGGGTCAACCATCTCAAGGCCTAAAATTTTAGTGATGTGGAAGCAGCAGAATAAGATGGTGAGTACGAAGAGAGAGCTGTGGGCACCAGGAGGACTTTGGAAGGCAAGCCTTTAAGGCCACAGGTTGCCAGGGATCGACAACTGATCAGGACTTCTAGACCTCAGCTGCAAAAATCCAGGTACTCACTAGATCAGGGCTCTCCAATCTTGGCAACTGTAAGACGTGAGGACTTCAACTTCCAGAATTCCTCAGATAGCAATGCTGGCTGAGGAATTCTGGGAGTTGAAGTCCACAAGTCTTACAGCTGCCAAGGTTGGAGACCTCTACACTAGATGATGTCAGCCCTCTGATGGTTGGGCAGATTTCTGTAGCCCAGATGTAGCAGCCCGTAACAGTTGATTCAGGGTAGGACATCAACTGATCCCCAAAGAGTAACAAAAAGTGCCAAAGGAAACAAAAGTCCTGGAACTTTATTGAAAACTTAAGCAAAGGAAGCAGTTTTATCAGTCAGGGCTAAGAGCTTCATGAGAAGAAACTATCTTGCTGATGAAACAGTGGCTACAGAAGCCCCAGCTACTGGTTTTTACTGCTCTCTTGGGATTTTTGATATGATTCAATCATGCTTCAGTTCAGGATGGGTGTTTCCTGAAATACATCTTAACATCATCCCCTATCAGTCGGAACTGCATGATTTTGAAGCCTGATTCCCTGTGAAAGGAGGTAATGAGGCTCAGAAAGGCCCTGGCCTAAGAGGATCCAATACCCAAATATATTGCAAGTAACAGGATCAAGGAGTTACCTGTAATAATATCCTCAATGGTCCCATCTTTGCCTTCATAAACAGGCCTGTGGTCCTTGGCTTGACGCCGCCTCAGCTCAGCAATTAACTCTTGCTGCTGCCATTTGTTGCGCTGCAAAGACAACTGGGGCTGGTCAAAGATTAAAAGAAGAAAGCAGAAGACACCACCCAGCCTGACCACCAGGGGTGGGATTCTAACTGGTCAGACCAGTTCTATAGAACCGGTTGCTACGGTTCTGCACAGTTCGGAGAACCGGCAAATTGCACCACTGGCTGGCCCCTTCCCTTCCCTCCCCACCCACTCACTCCTTACCTGGCATGAGCCATCCAACTTGCCTGCTTTGTGCCTTTGCCTAATTTTTGGTAAGTTGCTATTTTATCTTTTTTTACTCCCAACCACCAGCTGTTCCGACTATCAGCTGTGCCAGGAGATTTAGATCAGATAGAAAGCAGGAAATTGTTGCATTTCTTGCTTTCTAACTAATCTAAAAGCAGAGCTGAACCTTCCTTAGAACTGAAGCTTCTATTTTTTAGTGTAGACTCAGGTAGCAGATTGCAGAAAGATAGATCTCTGAGTGAATCTGTGATTCTGTGAGGAACTCAATCTGCCTGCCTGCTTTGCCTGATTTTGGGTAAAAGTTGTTCTTTTTTTATAAAAAATTCAGTATTTACAGAAATATTTACAATATTTACATACAAGCCATGCCCACCCAGTCACATGCCCACCAAGCCACACCCACAAATTAGGCCACACCCACAGAACCAGTTAAGAAATTTAATCCCACCCCTGCTGACCAACATACATCCTGCTCTGTGACCGATCCAAAAGAAGGTTGGGAAATTCAAATTGGAGTTTATCTCATATTCATTCAACCACATTTCCTTTCATTCACAATACTATGAGTCAGCCCAGACTGACACCATCTGCAAATATCATTTGTTAGTGCAAATACACACTAACATGAGACTAAGACTCTGCCTGAGCTCCTCCACAAGGCATTCTATCACCAAGGAAGGTTCTTATCTGCCCCTGGAGTCAGAAGGTCAAGAATTTCCCTGGGAACAGATTTGTAGATAAGTAGGCAGCCCAGGCTGAAATATTTATATTTGATATTATTTCTACCCTAACAATGATAGAAAGCCATGGGAAAGCTAACATCTCTTTTAACGAGGAACCAATGATCATGTCAGAATACAGAGAAGCAGAGACCAAGTAGGAGGTCCATTCTAGAAGCAGGTGCAGATGGTGTAGGCTGCACCTTTTCTGGTGAACCATCCCATGCTTTGCTAGATGCCCTTCCATTCTCTAATGAGATACCAGCCAAGAGTAGCAACTGATACTGTAATATAATAAAATATATTACAAGCAAGTTGAAGCTCTACCAAAGACCATGAGACATAATGATGAAACAATCCTCCTGTGAGTTCACACACACACACACACACAAACACGCAAGTGGCTTCTCGAATTGTTGCCAATCATACAACATGATGTCCTGCCTGGAGCATCTCTTACCTTCTCTAGCCTCTTAGCTTCTTGGGCCAATGCCTGCTCCCTTTGGGCCTGTTCCTGCTTCTTGCGCAGTTCATTCTCTTGCTCTGCATCCTGAAAGAGAAAGAACAGTGCAACTGTAGGGTAGAGAAGCACTGATCAGCAAGAAAGAACTTGCCATAATAAATGTATTAATGAATTCTGAAAGGGCAGGTGCCTCGTCAAGGGCTTCAGTCTACAGCAAGGGCTATGTCAATACATCAGGCCCTGATTCTCTATTCCACTGGGAATACTGCTTAGAGAAACAACTGTGAACACCTCAACCTGGTTTGCTTAACGATCATGGTGCCTGCTTTACAACTGCTCCCAAAAGATTGTAAAATCAGTTCTGTCATGTGACCGATTTTATGACTGTCATGGCCATGATAGGCAGGCTCTATTACTGTCAGAAACCAAGAACTACCCATACTTTGAATCAAGTGATATAAGAGAGTAGTTTATGCCACTGCTAACCACGGGTGGGCTTCAAAAAATTTAGCAACCAGTTCTTTGCCCGAACCGGGGAGAACTGGTAGCAACCACCCTTGCTGATAACCATAAAGACACCAGGTTATTGCACTCTCTGATTCTAAGTGCTTTTTTTGCTTAAAGAAACCACCTCTCTCTCCATCTCTCTCTCTCCATCTGGTTGTTTCCCTGCCAACTGGCCTACTATTCTCTTCCTCTTTCTGGGCTGTGCTTGTCAGCTCTGATCCTAGATCTGTGATGGCTTGTCCCAACAATGGGGAGGTGTCTGTAATTAATGCAGATGATGGTTGCTCTGGAAGATGCTCTGGGGAGGCTAACATTTTGGAAAGCTTCTTGGCTGAGATGAGTGAGCTGGCACAGGAGATCTTCATTCCGGAGATCTTCAATCTAGCCCACACAGGAAGAAAGTTCTAATTCCCTTATTCACTGGCCATGCCTAGTCCTAGCCAAAGCTCCCTGCTCTTGGACCATGTCCAGCAGAGCTTAGTGTGAGACATTTATGACTGGGCTCCCACATTCATGCAGGACCAAGCAGGCAGTTCTGTTGCTTCTAAAGGAGCCAGCCAGAACAGCATTTTTCAACCTTAGCAATTAAGGTTGAAAAATACTTGATCTCGAATCTCCGCTTCCCAACCCTCACCTTGTAGGATCTGATGAAACGGGCAAAGACTGGAAAGAAAACCGAGGGCGGTGTCGTCTTTGGGCTCTCGCCAAAATAGCGCACGACTGTGTTGTAGGCTTCCTGTCACAAAAGATAAGCAAGATGAATGAAACAGTAGCTTCTGCAGCCTTCAGGTTTGCTGTAGGAAGAGAAGGCTACCAAGCTTAACTGCCAGGACTTTTAGGCTTGAGTATCGAAACAACCATCATTGCATTAAGCACTGCAAACCCAGAAATCTGACCCACACAACGGAGCAGCGTTTTCCAACAACTGTCAAGAAAAGGCATCCGTTTCTCCACACAATCTGACTTTCTGCACAAGAAGATGAGCAGGAACAAGGTTCTCTCTGATGTCAGTCACACATACCTGCCTTCGAATAAATACGGATTAGTCAAATCTGGCACTAAATATATCTGCAAAAATCATACATAGCACAACTTTCGTACATGGTCCAAGGTGTACGTCAGGAATATTGAAATGATGATTTTCGAAGGCAGAAGGTCTGGTAGTTTAGTTACAATCTTGGTAAGGTAAGTGTGGAATGTACTTCTGGTTTTAAACTGCCGCCATGCTCCTCCAGATTTCCTCCCCCCACATTTATGGCAACTCTAAAACAGGCATAGGAATGCTTTATGAGTTGACATTGCACTCAGTATTTGGCTTCGTGCACTTGAATGCTTCAGCAGCACAGAGGAGCAACGTTTTGGTTGCAAGCTCTTCTCCATTAATCCTTGTCCTAGTTGCCCCTCCACTCACCTCCGCTGTCTTAGCGTCTTTCTGGAGTCGGTCCAACTTTCCCTCGTTGGCGATCAAGAAGTTACGCAGGATACTGTGTTCGTGCAAACTGCACTCCCGCCGAATCAGCTCCATTCCACGCCCCAGTTCCTTCACGTCCAGCAGCACATTCTCCAGGGACACTGCGGAGTAAGGGAAGTCACCAGGTGGGTCTCAGGACAACTTGGGTTGAAGAATTTTCAAAGCGTTTATAGGGTCACAGCGTGCTAGGAAAACATTTGGGTTTCTGTGCCAGAGACGGGCAGAAGGTGCGTCAGGATCTACAGGCAGATCTTTGGGGAAATAAAATACCACTCCAACCCAGTGGCGGATTAAGGCTCACTGGTGTCCTAAGCACTGACAAATCTTGGTGCCCTCCTCTTTTGTATATAATGTAGCCATATTCAAAGCCATGTTCTCAATTTTGTGGTGCCCCCTTTGGCCTAAACACGTGCTTAATGGCTCCTCCCCCAGCCCAAATTTGATGGACATACAGAATGTTTTGAATAACTTAGTGCAACATTCAAGCACAAGGTCAATTGTGTTCTGATACTGAAAAATATCCAAGGATTAAAACGTGCTCAGAGATACCTGGTACTGGTAGGTACAAGTCATGCTTTTTGTATTTAATTCTCTATGACTCCCAGGGTTGTGTTTAAGCTGTTCTCCACTGCTACACTAATTTGTTAACAATATATCCTGCAGCTCAAAGAACTGGATTCCATTATACTAGCTTTCACAAGTCAACATAATTTGACAAAACTGTCTTTTAAGTATTTGGCTTAATCCTTCAGTTCTTCTCCTTGTCTCCTTGATAATATCATTTCTTGTCTTCACCTCTTCCCATCTCCCCCTCCCACACTCAACATTCAACCTTCTCAAGATCAGTGATCTTCTCTTAGGTTACTCAGCAAAAAATCCTGTCCATCAACAAATGGACACACACTAATTAAAAACAAGTGGTGAATTCTAAATACAGTCTGTTCCCCAATCATCTCTCACTCCAGCTTCTATAAACATGGCCTTTCTCACCCTGATGCCTTCAAATGGTACATTTCCCAGAACTCCCAGTTGGGGCACTGAGGCTTTCGTGGGATGCCATGGACTGGCTCCAACTACTTGCAAAGTTGCACAGGAAGTTTGTCAGAGGAAAGGGGAGGCAACTATGAATCCCACACAAATTTTTCTTCTAAACCATGATGTGCTACAGCCAGCTTATATCAGCTCACCAGAGCCAATTGTTAAGTTTTTCTGGAATTTTGCAAATCAGTTTGGAACAGAGCCGAGCTAGTAGATGAATCAGCTGTCTGGTGGCTAGCAGTGAGCTGTGGCTATGGAGCTGAGTTGCTTGTTATACATTAATCAGCATGTCCCTGGTTATAAACCATTCAGAGATATCAAGGAAAAAGATTGAGAAGTAAAGCTTTGAATCTTATGGACCTCCTGAAATGAGCTGGGTTCACAAAACATAATTAACCTGGCCACTGAAAGACAAAGCACACTGTGTGAATCAGAAACCTAATTTTCACAGCAGAATCAGGAACCTGGTTAGTTTTGAGTTACTGATCCCAGATAACTTATGTTAGGCAAGCTCAGAAGACACTTTCCTTCAGTCACTTGCACAGCAATCCTGCACAAGAGGCGATCATTCTCTTGTCACTCTGTTACTCTCTTCTTTGAATGGCATCCCTTCTGTTCCAGCCGCCGTACCAGCTATAAAAAGGCACCTCCAACCCCACCAAAATTATTTACATTATCCATTTCCTAGAGCTGCAAAAGAATGACCACAGTTAACATGCTGCATAACAAAGTCTGGGACAGTGGCCAAGAAGGCAGCTGCCTTTATCATTGTGGCAGCTTCAGATTACTTTTAATGCTGCTGCATTACGCGATAAGCCATTTACACAGGAGGAGGGGCAGGCTGGGTCTTTGTGTCAATTGGGCCATCTGAATCCAGCAAATCAGTGGGAAGCCTGTTTGAACCCTAAGAAAGAAACCCAAAGAGCTTCCTGTGTACATGAGCACAGCTGATCTCTACAACTGTGGTTTATTGCAGCCGTTCTCAAGCTAAAAGAGCAGCAGCTGTCGTGAGAGCCCCTGACAGGATTGGCCTGCCCCTATTCAGCAGGGGCAGGGAGCTCCTTAACCCTCCGGATGGGAGTGTTGGATACCAATTCCCATCAGCTCCAAGAACACTGGAAGAAAATATTGTTGCCCAATGCCTCTGGAGGGCCCCATTCTCAGGGGTGTCAAACTCAAGGCCCATGGACTGAATCCGGCCCATGGAGTGCTTAAATCTGGCCCAAAGGGCCAGGCTGGAAATATCAAAGGACCGACCCGCAGTGCATCTGCCGGTCAAAATGGGCAATCTATTTTCAGCCTTCATGGCCTCCTACAGCACTCTGCAGGCGAAAAACAGGCTGCGTGGAGGCTTCACGAGGCCCCCTCATGGCCTGTTTTTGGCCTCTCCAGACTCCAGCACCACTCTGTCAGTCAAAAATGGGCACCCCGTTTTGGCCAGCAGACTGCTGCAGGAAGTGTCTGTCCCCCCACTCCCCACCCTCAGTCCATGGAGGAGAATTATAATACTGATCTGGCCCTCGAGGAAATCCAGTTTGACCCCCCCTGCTCTAAGTTGTTAGAAACTTAAGTGTGTGGTCTCAAGGCCATTTTTTAGTCTGAGCAACTTAGGAACATGAAATTCGCTCCCAATTATACCCCATGCATTGATATACCACCACACCTATCAGTCTGCTTAGTGCCTGCCTTGCTTCACCGCTACCCTTTCTGGAAACTATCTTCATACTAAGTGAAGTGCAGCAATATCTGTTTCATACATTATGCTATACATGATATTATATATTATATCAGATTGCAGGTAGTTTCCCTTTACAGATCATGATCCTCTCAGAGGCTTGTACATATCCAGAAAATATTGCCTCTGACTTCCATACCACCTCCAGATAGATAACAAAAAAAAAATGCTGCTGATCTTGTAAATGAAGGAGAGACTGGAGATGAAGCAACTAATGGGGTCCTCACTAAGACCAGGACGAAACCAAAATGGCATTTATGGTTGTTATGATTGCAAGGACCATCTACCTGCAGCCGCTTTTTCCACAAAGTGCAGTTCCTGCCAGAAGGTGCTCAGCTCAGGGTATTTCTCCTTCACCATCATGGCAATGAAATGTAGAAGAGTCAACTTCCGGTCGGTGGACTTGGTGTCCAACAGCTTTCAGGATAGAAATAAGGAAGAACCGATTATCAAGACATCAGCATCCGTGCGTGCAAAGATTAGACCAGCAGGGAGTCTACGGTACATGCATGTGAACACAGACAATCCCATCTGTTCAGTCACATGCATGGACATTGGCTTGGAATGCCCTGTGGGGAAATGCATTCATTCATTAGAATTCAGAGGCACGGGCAGTGTGAAAAAGTGCACAGTGGTGTAAGTTGTGACAGGACAATAATAACTAACGTCCTTCGTCTTAGGATATCTCTAGCAAATCCACTTGGCTACTTTTTACAGATATATGGATCATAACTATATATGACCCTTTTCTATGCCTCTTCCCTTACCAAGTCCAGACTCTGCAGCTTGAACCCATAAACTGAGCCACGCTTGCTGCTGTTCATGTAGTTGCCAAGGGCCAGGATGATCTGTGGGGAGAGAAGAGGAGAGGGAACAAGTACCTGAGGTGAATTTTCTCTGCCTCTGCAAGGAACTACATTCCAACTTAGAGCCTACAGCTCCTGAACAGCAATGTAAAAGTAAAAAGTTGAGGCTGTAATGTTATTGTGCTATTCTCATGTGCTAAAAAGAGACAGAAGTAAATGCTTTTCTTTTTCTTGTCCCCTTTACCCTGCACTTTTGGAATGAATGAATGAATGAACGAATTCTTTATTAGCCAAGTGTGATTAAACACACAAGGAATTTGTCTTGGTGCATATGCTCTCAGTGCACATAAAACGAAAAGATACATTCATCAAGTATCATAAGGTACAATACTTAATAGTCATCGGGTACAAATTTTTGCTTTCCCTCCTCCCCTTTTCCCACTATTTTCATTTATATTTTATGCCTCGATGAGCTTAATAAAATTACAATTTTTAAAAAAAAAGGAAAATAAGCCTTTCACAGGTTTAGAGGCTCCCTTCGTTTGCCTCTTTGCTTCATCTGGGTTGAATTTTAGCATTCCAAAAAGTGTATGTGAAGTAAATGGTGGTGATTGTGCTCCAACTTCCCATTGTTAACGATGTTAATGCCAGCTGACTGACCTACCTCTAGCATTCGCTTGAGCTTCTGTGACGATTTGACGGACGCCGAGGCAGCAATAATGGCACTGAGTTGCTATAAGAGGCAAACACCATAACAGTATTATTGCTAGTTTAGCACCTGAACAGTTCTTGTATTTTGGAGAGGGCTAAATTCCTTAGGAAGCGACACCAATTTGGGCATGGTTTAATCATCTGGTTTTTGTTTTTGTTTGAAAGCGAAGAGATCCATTTATTGAACTTGAAACATGGACCTTAACATCTTGTTCTTGAAATCAATTTCCTTGTCTCACATACTTTATTACATACAACTCAGCTGGAGCATAAATCCATCCCTCCATATGCACACACATTTTAAAGTTAGGTGAAAAAAATATTAGCGTCTGGTTTTTAATTGCTTTGAACACTTCCCCGAGGAAAGGACAATACAACAATTAGGAAGGAAGAATAATGAACACTGTAAGCATATTAGCACAGAGGAGAAAAAAATGATCACTTGGGAACCTAGGTAGAATCACACCACAGTGGGACAAGATCTCTGTGTGCATCAAGAAAACACAAAGACGGAGTGAGTAGAATCCATGAGACTCCTACCCAGTGCAGATGCCTTCTTCCTCCCTAACAACTATCCTGTTGGATCTCAAGGATAAAGATTTTCTATGCCTTTCCTAAACTGAAGTTAGTGGAAGTTACACCTGAGGCAATCAAAAAATGTAATTTATTCTAGAGGCCCCATCTGCTTGCTTGCATCCCCCATTTTGCTCAGGCAGCCCAGGTAGGAAAATACAGATTTTTCAAAAGGACAGTGTAATTGTCATTCTATGAAATTCTGCATTATAAAAATATGCCGTAGTGTCATTGTAGACACACAGCTGGCTTCCAGGAACAGAAGAAATAGGAAGATCAACCTTGAGCACATCCTTTCCTGTCCTATATGTACATCTACTCAGAAAGGAATCGCCTTAAACTTAGTACCGCTTAAGGTCCTATCGTTACAATGCTCTAAAAAGAACTTGTGTTACCGGCATGAGCATCTGGATGTTTTCACTGAAGTTTCCCAGGAACGCCATAATGGCCATGCGCTGGGTCAGGCGTTCGACTTTGCTGAAGTGCAGCATGAAGCGGTCCTCATCGGACAATTCCTCCACTGGCTTCCTCTCCTTCTCATACTGGCGCAGCAGCTTGACCTCGTTCTCCGTTGGCAGGAAGCGCATCAGGCACTCCACAAAGTCCACTGGTAAGGTCTTCAAGTCAAACCTAAAAGGGGCCCCAACGAAGGAAGTCCCTCTATCAGAGATAGAGCATCTGGCTATGGATGGGCAAAGGACGCTAGGGGAGAGGCTCTCTTAGCATTCCGTGATCCTCTCGCCGAGGAATCGGCAACTTTGAATCTCGTAAAGCTTGTGGCCTAGCTCCATGGGACCTAAAACTTAAGCCCTAGTTAGGAAAAAGTGATCTGCCTTTATCTTGACTGACAGCTGTGTGAGGAAGAAGGTTGATAAGGAAAAAAGAGTGTTTCAGAAAGAAAAGAGCACCCCACCTATAATTTGCTTTGGCATCCCCTACTCCAGAGGTGGTATTCAGCAGGTTCTGATCAGTTCTGGAGAACCGGTAGCAGAAATTTTGAGTAGTTCAAAGAACCGGCAAATACCACCTCTGACTGGACCCGCCCCCACATATTCTCTGCCTCCTGAGTCCCAGCTGATCGGCCGGGTCTTCTTTGGTTGCCCTGCACAGGAGAATGGAGCTGGAAAGCAGGTTAGTGGGGTGGGGAGGGAATGGGGATTTTGTAGTAACCTTCCCCTGCCACGCCCAACAAGCCACACCATGCCCACAAGCCACGCCCACAGAACCGGTAGTAAAAATATTTGAATCCCACCACTGCTCTACTCCTATTATTTGCATATCTCGTGGCCCCTTCCTGATTATGCCTGCAGATATACACTTCCTGACAGAGAAGAAGGTTGCCTGCTTAAGAGGAAAAACCACAGGCTGGTGGGATGGGAGACTCACGTGTGGATGGCTTTGCAGATCTCCTCGGTGGTCCTGCCTGCCTTACGCAATGTGATGGCCAGGTTCTTCGCCCGGTTGGCCTCCAGCAGGGTCACTTTGTTGACCGCTTTGTGTGATGCTTTGTTTTTAGAGCAAAGGAGATCGATGGCAGGACCCTGTGCTTTGGTCTTAAAGAGCTCCTCAAACTTGTCCAGATCAAGATCCTTGGGGGAAAAAAGGAAAGAGAGGGTTACCTCATCAACTTGGGGCTAGTAATTACAACTGCTAACAGCTTGTGGTTTTTTTTTTACTTCTTGGTATTTTGCTGGTTTGGCTGCATATCACCATACAGTACATTTTGGGAACCGAGGGCTCCAATAATACACCAGGATTGGGTAGTAGGTTCTATGGGTGTTCAAAGGTTGCTGTGAGTTTCAGTGGAAGAATCTGATTATCTGCTCCATTTGCAGGCAAAACTGTGGCAGACAAATGTCAATGTTCAATACAATTCAAATCAAATGGCATCTGTCTTTACTACTCCATTATTGCTGCTAGCACCTGATTTCTGTCAATTTTCATCCTTCCTTCTTCCCTCCCTCCCTTCCCTTCTCCCATCTCACAAAAGAGACTCTAGACAACTTACAACAATTAAAATCATTTCCTGTCCTTCCAGGTTCTTATTCTTGTTCTACTCTTTATATGTGTTATCTTCCCAATTCTACTTGTAATTCTACTCCCAGTCAAACCGACTTTTCCTTCTCTCACTCAAACTCAACAAGCAGACTTTTTTTAAAAACAAATCAGCATTAGAGCTTCAGCTCCATGGCATCCTAACAGTCCAAAAACCGAAACAAAACCCCAGGTTGTGAACTAAGAAAGAAAATCATTTTGGGAATTATGTATTTAAAATCTCAACTCATGCCAGCACTCACTTCTCCATTTCCCTCACCTCCAAGATCTTTTCATCATCTAGTTCACTGAAGACCGTCCCACTGATCTGGTTGGGCTTCAATGCTGTCCAGTTAAAAACTGGCAAGCGGAACTTGGTCTTGATGGGCTTCTTAATCCGGATTGCTTGGTGCAAAACAGAGAACAAAGCATGACTAGGTCATATGGAAAAGAGAAGTTATTCTCAACCTATTCCCAACAAATCAGTCGGAGGAAAAAGTTTTCATTCTGACAATTTTCTGGTGAGTTTTGGTGAACTTTTGTTAGTTTCCCTTATGCCATAATTTCTGAAGAATAGTATCTATGTGATTTGGACATGTCAACAAATCCTTTCCCGCTTCTGTATGCAAATACTGAGGGAAATTATTCACTGATCTGTTCACAGGCATACATATCTGGACTGCAAAACTCCAGACAATTCTAACATGGTAACAAAGAATTACAGCGTACCCCTTGTCATTTATTTTTGCAGCCCAGATATGACATGCCTCATCTGGGTTTCAAAAGAAACAGATGAATTTTCCTGAAGAGAATGGGGCTTGTTTCCAAAAAAAAAAAAAAAAACCCCCAACCACCGCCCATATTTCAAGCCGTATATCTGAAGCCAGAACCAAAATTAAACTATCTATTTTTAATGGAAACAAATTATTTTAGTTTTTGCTATTCTAGTCCAACAGAATATTTTCCCCAAGAACATTCAAACTATTAAAAATTCAAGGTCACAACAATGAAATGGGATGCCAAGAAAAACCATTTGTACAAATGACATAAATTGCATTTTGGGGAAAACATACATTTTCTCAACCATATTATATAATTTACTCGGCAACAGTTTCTAGTTGCTTAATTCAGTTTTATTAATTGGCTTTTTTGGCTCTCTGGCATTTCCCTCAGACTTTATACCCATAAGGGCTACAATCATATATTTTAAAGTGGAACCTACATTACTACATACATTATTTATCTTCAAACCCTTCTCCATTCAATTAGCATCAATTATACAGTAATCCCCATGCTATTTTACTGCTCAGGTCTATTTGGGAGAACAGATGTTGAGCCGGTGGTGGCACAGTGGTTAGAATGCATGATTGCAGGCTAATTCCACCCACCGCCAGCAGTTCGATCTAGATGGGCTCAAGGTTGACTCAGCCTTCCATCCTTCCGAGGTTGGTAAAATGAGGACCCAAATGGTTGAGGGCAATATGCCGACTCTGTAAGTCACCCAGAGAATGCTGTAAAGCATTATGAAGCAGTGTATAAGTCTAAGTGTTCTTGCTATCTACCTGATAAGCCCATTGTGAGAATCACCGAAGGAGATGTACCAGGAAGAGGTGGAGCTGGTGGACACTTATCTATGAGGAAAGAAACAACAGATAAATAAACAGAACAAGGCAACTCCCCTCATGGCAAGATGTTGGCTTGTTAGCTCTAGAATAGAAGCCTACCTGGTAGTGGAGGAGGGGGTGGGGGAAGAGGGGGTGGAGGAGGGGGTGGAGGAGGGGCAGCCTCCACAGGAGGCAGGACAGGCAGGCAAAGTTCATCCTCAGAGATGTCACAGAAATTGATCTCTGCCTCTGGAGGTGGTGGCAGCGGCAAGTGGTCACTCCCCATTGGATGTGAGGTATAGTGATGTCGGAAGGCTTCTTCCTTCTCCTTGATAATTCTGCGCAATGTATGAACTTGGTGGCTGGCACTTTCGTACGTCTCCTGTCCCAGATACAGAGATACAATAGAGTTTTTCTTACCTCTAAAAGCCGTTCCTTGTTTAACATCTCAGGCAATCCTAATCACAAAGGACCAATCCCATCAGACCTTCCCCAGTTCAGGGACCTCCAGGTGGATTGGAGGTTTGAGTGTTGCAATCCAACCCAGCTGGCAGATACAGACTGGGAAAGGTTGCAAGGTCATTGTATGCTGAAGTGTAAAATCACAAGCATCTCCAACCATACAATTTCTGAGAATAGAAATGAGTTACATAATGTAATTTCCTTCAAAAGAAGAACATATCCATCTATATGGAAAAGAGTATGTGGGGAATGTCTGTGGAGATTCTCAGTCATCCAGGCCATGGTTGTCCCAGAGGTGCTTTTTTCAAGAGGCAACTGGACTTTCTGGGTTTTCTTTTGAAGATGTTTCACTTCTCATCCAAGAAGCGAAACATTTTCAAAGGAAAAAAACTGACCAAAGTCCACTTGCCTTTTCATAAAATGGAATGGATGGATGACTGAGAATTTCCATAGACATTTGACCTGTTGGATGATACTATCAACTCATGATAACACCCATGAAAACTGATGCATATTATTCTCCCCTTTGGCCAGAAAGATCCATGCGGATGAGCAAGTTATCTTTCCCCACAGTACCTTGTCAATTAGCTTCTCCGGGAAAGTCTAGATGAAACCATCAGTCACACTTCCATGCTCTGGAGAGCACCTTCAATTCCCTTTCTTGGATCCACTTACCTTGACAATCTCCAATTCCTTTTCCCGCTGTAACAGTTGTTTCTCCAACTCAGCTACCCGCATTATGTTCTCATTCTCCAGATCCAGCAACTTTTCTGTCAACTGAATAACACAGAACAGGAATCACTGATTGGTCTTTCCTTTGAGTCAAGACAGCTCTGTTTTTATTGTTTGATAATGATATGTTCAACAACTCACTTGTGAGGCAGACTCTCATCAGTGAGGTAGTGAGACTGTCACAAGGGGCATTTTAGCAAAAACCAAGCGATTAGTGTTTTTTGAAATAGTTAAAAAAGACATTTTAGCTTGACTGTACCTTCTTCCCTTTGCGTGCCCAGGCAGGAGACTTTACACCTCAGACAATGAAGTGAATTCACAGGACCTTTTATATGGCATGCAAAAACTTCCTAATTTAATTCCTGGCATCTCCAGGCAGGGCTAGAAAAATCACTGTCTCACCTACAAGTAGCCCTCCACTTAACAACCACAATTCTGCTGTGAAGTGAGATAGTTGCTAAGTGAACTTTACCCCCATTTCATGTCCTTTCTTGCCACAGTTGTTAAGCGGATCACTGCAGTTGTTAAGTCAGTCACACGGTTGTGACGTGACTCTGGCTTCCCCACTGACTTTGCTTGTCAGAAGGTTGCAAAAGGTGTTGACATGACCCCCCAAGACACTGCAACCCATTGTAAATATGCCAGGTATCTGAATTTTGATCACGTGATCATGAGGAGGCTGCAATGTTTGAAAGGGTGAAAAATGGTCATACGTCACTTTTTTCAGTGATGTTATGACTTCGAACAGTCACTAAATGAACTGTTGTAAGTCGAGAACTACCTGTACTTGAATTAAGGTACACAGTAGGTGGATCAACTATTGGACTCTTCATAATGAAAATCCCTATGTTCTAAAATCTGGTGAACTTGTCACTAACTTAAAAGGGGTTGGATAAATAAACGTTTAGCAACTGAATGGAACTTCCTTGTTCGATGACATATATTTCTTTACTTTAAGAGTAAATAGTAACAAAGGAGAAGGACATTTTATTAAATAGCCTTTTTCCCTATTGGCAAAATGGGTTCCAGGATTAGCTGCCCATCCAGTACGACTTTTCCATGTTAAAGGAAAGTCTGTCCACTTACATGTGATAAGTGCTCTTCCAGTTCTTCTACTTTCTCCAAAGCCACGTTCTTGGTCTCTGCATCTTCTAGCAACCCACCTACATCAAACACATTGTCCAGGTAGGCCTGAATTTGCACTTGCAGCTTTTCACTTTCTGTGTGTCTTGACTTCTGTTGAAGAGAAGGAAACAGTCTTAAAGGCCAGAGGCTCCTAGTGTTCTCCTGGATGCCACCAGGTCCCCAGCAAGGCCAAAAGAGAGCCCCTCTGAGCTACACCTGACTTCCTCACAGATGCACCCCATGGACAAGTTCTATTTCAGCCATCCATCTCAGAGGCCCAAACTGGAGATACAGGAAACAGCTCTATAAGTAATGAAAGTATCATACGAAAATAAACCACTAAAGTATTCCATGATAATTATCAAGCCATTTGTGGAAAAATCTGAGATTTTTAAAATACAAATATATGTTAACTTTATCATGATTTCCTTTCACTCCCATCCTAATCCCTACAGAATTTTCCATCCGATCATTTGATGAGATGATGGATGTTTTGTTAGTAGTCTTTAAATCCCATCGGAGGATCCCTGGAAAGAAGGTTTGATTATAAGTCAGCTATGTTTCTGTGATATCGACATGCTTTGGAAGCATGCTAGATTTTCATACAAAAATAACTTATTAGAAATTGGTAGAACAGAAATGTTATCATAAGGAGATAAACATGTGTGACATTTTATCACCAATGGGTCCCATGACTGAGACTTCCTTGCAAGAGCACTTCAGTGTGTACTAGAATAGGAATGGAATAGGAATAGGAATAGGAATAGGAATAGAATAGAATAGAATAGAATAGAATAGAATAGAATAGAATAGAATAGAATAGAATAGAATAGAATAGAACAGAACAGAACAGAACAGAATGGCATTTATGGTTGTCATGGCTCATGTTGGGAGACTATCTGCAGTTGCTTTTTCCACAATTAATTAATTAATTTTAATTAAAATTAAAATGTTAACAGACACACATTATTACTAGATTTTTTTAAAAAAAGAAACCCGCCTTCTTCTAGAATCTGAACTCATATTGCAGAACTATTTAAACACAGAGAACCAGGTTTGTAGACTGAGGTAAATACCTTTTCTTATGGAGAAATGCTGTTAGCAAAAGAATTGCTTTGTTTTTTAAGACAGAGTTCTCTATTTTGCAGACATTTGATGAGTTTTGAGCCGTTTCCCATATTTTCATTTGCCACATAAATTTAAGCCACTATATGTGAGTTAAAATTAAGAGCCCTTCATCTAGAACTAGGCAAGCATTGTACAACATTCAAAAAAGTCACTCCTGTGTAGATGACTTGAACAATGTATAAAAATTGTGGGGTCAGGAAAAATAAAACCACAATATAAGTGATAGGTCTAATTTTGTTGTGCCTAATTATCTTTCTGCAAGCCCAGTCTTATATGTGGGAAAGAGATTAAATATTGTCAAATTTTAATGCCACTTGAGGTTTACTTTGTGATGGGACAAAATGTTACCTGTAAGAACTCTTCCAAACCCAGCTTGGTGAACTCATACTGTAAGTGCACTCGGAAGTTCATGTCCTCTACTGAATGGACCACAATGTTGATGAATTGCATACAGGCTACCTATAAAAGAGAGAAAAGGCACGGATTGTGACACACGGATTCAGTTATTTACTCTCCTTTAGCTTCTAGAATTTTTTTTAAAAAAAAACTGAAGAGAACTTAATTTTTAAAGTGCAGCACATGCTATAGAATATAGCTAAGTCCCCTCATTCTTCCATGCATAGATTCTCTCCCTCCATGCGGAGAACCATGGATTAATCTTATGCTGGAGAAGGGGAAGGGGAAGAGGAAGTTTCAGATTTCATTCACTGAGACCATCTAACCCATATTCTTTAGCAGTTCCCTAAAGTAAATTGTTCCTTGGGTTGATAAAGACTCCTTACTCCTGCTTATAGATTTATCTGTCTACAATTTCATATAGAAGCCTTTCCCAATCTTTCCTAAAATGACCGATGACTTTCTGAATCCAAGCATATGCTCCACTGTTGACTTGAGATCTCCTGAATGGGTGAATCCGCAATAGCAACTCAAACATAGTTGGGGATAGCAGAAGTCCTACATTATCCATGGAATACAGTTAATCCACAACTTACAACCATACTAGGTATCAGAAAATTTATCATTAAGGTGTGTGGTCATTAAATGAGACATCGTGTGACCACAACTTGCAAGCTTCCCTGCCACCTTCTCCACTGACTTTGCTTGGGAATTTACAAGATCACATGACTGTAGGATACTGCAACAATTATATATGCATGACAGTTGTCAGAATCACAATCAAATGAATGGAAATACTGCAACATTGTAAGCAGGGGTGGGATTCAGTTAGTTCAGACCAGTTTGGGTGAACTGGATGTTAAATTTACATCTGGTTTGCTGAACTGGTAGTTGAACCGGCTGGCAGGCTCCGCTATCCCAGTCCTCCCCTCCCAGGAATCTCCACACGGCCTGTTTTGGATGAAGGTAAGCGCAGGGTCTGTGCGGAGGCTCTGGGAGGGCAAAAAGGGGGCCTTTCGGAAGTCCGTAAATGGGCCTGTTTCTGGCTTCCAGAGGACCTCTGGAAAGGGAGGCTGTTTTTGCCCTCCCAGAGGCTTGAGGGAAGCCTTCGGACCCTCGGGAAGGCGAAAAACAGCCCTCTCGGAAGTTCCAGTAGGCCATGCCCACTATGGCCACACCCACCCAGCAACCGAGCACTGAACCGGTTGCTGGGATTTTTGAATTCCACCCCTGGTTGTAAGTGAGAGGACCAGTTGTAAGTCACTTTTGCAGGGTCATCAAAAGTATGATCAGTCGCTAAAGGAATGGTTGTAAGCCAAGGACTACCTATAAATTGGTTGATTATCCAGACAGAAAATATGCATCTAATCTGTCAATTGTTTCCTCTCATCATTGGGCCCAATGAGCAGCTGGCATACACAATTCCAAAGCAAATGTGTTCTTCCATATCTTTTTTCCCTAACCCCTTTTTTTCCTACCTACCATGAAATCTATGTTGCTATCTTCATTACGGAAATATTCCATCAGTTTCTCAAAGCGATGCTGCTCTTTGCATACCTAAGAAAAGAAAACACACCCGAATCATAAACAAGAAGCAGCCCTGATGAGCCTGCCAAATACATTTCATTCCACTGAATCTGACACATTTCCATAAGTGTTCCTCCACATAGCTGTGCAATGCTTACTTTCATGCAGTAATTTCTTTCTCTGGTCACATACCCAGAGAAAGCGAGTTTTGTTATGAGCAGATGGTACAGGAGAGCAAGTACTGTGTTTGAATTATCCCCACAGAAACACAGGTATGAACAGGTTAGCCACCGTTAGGGCCTGCTGGTTTTCCTTTAATCACTTCAGGCTTTATTCATTTTAGCCTTTTATTTATTAGATCAAGCTTCTGAATGTTTTGACAAGATTGACAGCCAAATGGAACATCTAATAAAACACATGATCCACATGTAATCCTTCAGGAGTCATTCACAACAAGAAAGAGGAGATTCCTCCCGAAAAATGTGAGGCTCTTTGAGAAGCTACTGATGAAAAGATCCCGGAGATAAGAGTCTCTGACCTGAACTTCTGAAAATGAGACACTAAAGAAAGTTATCCAGAGAAGATCTTGACTGCAAGTGAGCAGCAGCAGGTGTAGGAGTATATAAGCAAAATAAGGTGGTATGCAGGCATGGCCAAATCATGAGATTCAGGTTTGTGTTATCTGTTTATTTCTGCTCAGAGACTCAAGGCAATACCAAAAAGATGGGGCAGGCTTCACCGATCAAAAACTCTGCCCAAAGTAATATGAGAAACTTGAGTAGATTTGACTTGGGTTCTCATTTGGTAAAATAAAACAAGTTAATGGTCACTATCCATCACATCAATTTTTTTTTCTGTTTCCATCCCTCCCCATTTACATCTATCTATGGGTTGTCCTTCCATCTAACCATTGTTTCCATCTGCTTCCTTACATTTGCATACCCTATCTCAGGGGTGGGCAAACTTTTTGGCTCGGGGGGCCTCATTGACTTTTAAAATTTGACAGACGGGCCGCCACCTGGTGTCGAAATGCCTGTCATTACAAGTCAAAATCAAATGAATGCAATCATTCAATCATTCACATCAAACCTTAATTCTGTACCAATCTTTGGCGGGCCGGATTAAAAAGACCAACGGGCCGGATGTGGCCCGCGGGCCGTAGTTTGCCCACCCCTGCCCTATCTCAATGTACTGTTCCAGATGTGTTGGGCTTCAAAATCCATAATCCTTTGGATCTTCAGAATTTGAAACCTTATATTTTCAAATAGATAATAAAAGCAACCTCACCTCCTTGAAGTTCTCAAAGGCAGCCAAAATGATCTCATGGCCGCCACGCACAAGACACACAGCTGCCAGCAGTTCTAATACCAGGGCTTTTGTCCTGGGAAGACAAAAGAGAAACACAAAGCTAATGGACAAGCAACTAGGAAAAAAAAAATTACGGAGCCCACAATGGAGAAACGGTTGGTGTGGAACTTGTGAAAATGGCTACATTAACCTCTTCGATTAGAGAAAAAAACAATATCCTCATTTATGGTTGAATGGAAACTCCTAACAGACTTTTTGCATAAAAGAGAAACATGCACTTATGATTAGTGGTTTCGAGAGTTACAAAAAAAGATAATAGTGAGTTTTCTTTGGTAAACATAGCATTACTGCAAATAAAATTGGAAGATTCTTTTTTTCTATTTCTTTTGATTTTTTCTTTTTTTCTTTTTTCTTCCTTAATGGCTTTTACTCTTTATTAATTTGTGTTAATTTTTTTATTTGTAAAAGTTTTAATAAAAATTTACAAGGAAGGGAGGGAGGGAGGAGGGAGGGAGGGGGGAGGGAGGGAGGATGGAAGGAAAGAAGGAAGGAAGGAAGATTCATCTGAAAAGAGTAGTACGATTACAATTGAGCCCAACATTTCTGATGTTAAGCGAAACATTTATTAAGTGAATTTTGCCTCATTTTATGATATTTTTTTCCACTGTTGTTAAGTTTCTTGCAGTTGTTAAGTTAGTATCATGGTTGTTAAGTGAATCTGACTTCTCCATTGACTTTGCTTGCAAGAAGATTAGAAAAGGTAATCTCCTCACCTCAGGACATTTCAACAGTCATAACATGAATCAGTTGCCAAGTGTCCAAATTTTAATCATATGACTATGGGAACGCTGCAATTTGTGAGAGTGTGAAAAACGGTCATAAATTATTATTTTTTCAGTGTCATCGTAACTTTGAACAGTCACTAAATGAGCTGTTGTAAGTTGAGGACTATCTGAATTTTTATTCTTATGATACACACAGCACTAACCCAAATGTGAAACCAATTAGGCCTTTCTTGTCAACTTTGGTTATTGGTCCTGGGAATATCGCAACATAAAGGTAAGACTCCATCTGTTGCTGAACTTTTTAAATAGTTCCTATTAAAAAAAAAAAACCTTCCCCATTTGCAATTCTGTCATTGTTGAGACTGCTCCTTAAAATCAAAAGATAGGTCACGATGTACTAAATCTGATCACTATTCCATGTAGCAGAGGGTCTGGCTCTCCCCTTAAAAGTTTCAGATCGAAACCATGAGCCTCATAGAGAGGTCTTTTTATATGTAAAATACACGTTCCATCAATGAATTAAACATTTTCCCCAATATATCTCAAGGAAAGCCTAGGAGGTTTTGTAAACACTGAAGCCACATTCCTATAAGCATCACAGAATATACTAGATCTACAAACTGAAGTTCAGCACATGTTTTACAGTGCAAAGAAAAATCAAACCCTACACATATTCAGTTCATTGCCTATCTCAGATAAGAAATAATTCTTTTTGAAAGCTGGGGAAGCCAGTTCCAGATAGAGTAGAAAATACTTAGCTATAGATACTAGAAGTCTGGTTTTTTTTTTTTTACAAGGAAGACTACTGTGGTGTATTTGATGGAGTCCAGTGGATTAGTTCAGATAGATCTCTTTTATTAGGAAACCATATACCCCAACTTTGGTGGAATGAAATGCAGAATTACTTACTGATTACTAATGGTCTCCCAAATCAGGAGAATGTGATTTTAGATTAATGAATGGAAAAACCAGATCCCACCAGATGATTTTAAATTCTGCTTATTTTATTTTGTTCAACGTATATGGCTGCCCATCACACTGTGGTGACTTTGGGTGATTAAGAACAGTTAGAAAATAAAATCAACAACAAAATAAAATAAGTGATTGTTAACCAAGGCAAAAACCAATAAGCAGCAATTAAAATAACCACATCACATGGACTCTGACAAACTGACCCCCGTGCCTGGGCATATAGTCATGACTTCAGGCCCTTGTGAAAAGCTGGCAGAGTCAGGGTCATCTAATCTCTGGGAGGAGGATGTTCCAAAGGGTGGGTGCCATGACAGAAAAAGCTCATTTCCTGGGTCCCCTAGATTAGGGGTCTCCAACCTTGGCTTTGCTAGCTGGGGAATTCTGGGAGTTGAAGTCCACCAGGCTTAAAATGGCCAAGGTTGGAGACCCTTGCGACCTAGATGACATTCCTTAAGTGGCAGGAACCATGTCTCCTACCAGATCTAATGGGATGGGTGCAAGTGTTTGGGTCCCAGCAAATAGACCACTCCCATACCATGGTTTAATTTCTAAGGATCAAGAGAGGAATTAATTATAAGATACAAAATTGTGTCATCTGTGCAGGAAGAAAAGAAAAAAAGTCCCTGAGCTGTAGAGAAACTCTAGTGATGGTTATCTTCATAAATATTATTTTATAGAATATATCAAAAGATGCCAAAGACATGACTTGCTCACATGCCTGCTGTTCTCCAGATGTGCATCCAACCATTATTTAATGCCAAGTGTTAAGGAATACTGTTGAACTTATTTAAGATATGATCAAGTAACTTTACTGGAGAGTTTAGGTAACCGATGAATTTACATTAACAACACATCCAGGCAGTATTTCTGGCTGTATACAAAGCTTTCAGAAAGACCAAACAATACTGACATACTGCAAAACAAACACACATCTGCTTTACAAATTAACATATGTTTGAAATCAGATTTACTAGCTGGAGATAGGCCACAATTTCAGTATTGTTTAGTTTTTTTTCAGAGTTGAAGGCAGTTTGAAAAATGCACCACTGCTGAAAAGGGAAAATTCGTTGTACTGTTACTCTTGCTATAAAGGTATTACAAATTATTGTGGTATTTCACAAACCTGCTCACTCTTCCTGATTAGCCGGGGTAGTAAGTCAAAAGAAAAGTTTGTATGGCCTCATACCATGGGACACAACACTTCTAAGTCGCTTTCAACTCGTTCAGAAAATACCTATTGCCTTTTTTATAAAGACTGCACTTCTGGTAGTTCAGTTTTAGTTTCTAAACTTATCAGAAAACTTATATTTCCATGATTCTCATGATATCGGAAACACAAAATTAATGACATTGAAATTGGTCTCGTTTTTCAATATTAACATAGTCCATGTAAACCGCACCATATAAGCCTTAGTATACCGTTAAACAACAATCTTCATTTTCATGAGGCTCATTGAGTATAAAATTGTCTTACCTGGGGTTTTTATTGTTCAAACTGAGAGCAATCTCATTAACAGCGTGAGGATGTGACATGACCAAATTGAATCCATACTGGAAGGGAAAGGAATTTATATAAATATTAGAAGTTATAAGAAACACTCAACTAAACAGATAGCCTTATTTAAGATGGAACATGCATATCTAGAGACCCAAAGGTTCTTTTTCAAAAGGTAACTGGACTTTGTTTTTCCTTGAACAAGTTTCGCTTCTCATCTAAGAAGCTTCTTCAATTCTGACATCTTCAAGGAAAAACAAGAGGTCAGGTTGCCTTTTGAAAAATCACCTTTGGGACAGCCAGGACCTGGATGACTGAGAATCTCTATAGACACATACTGCATAGAGAGGTGATTAATGAAAGAGAAGTGAGGAAAAAAAAGAGAGAAGTTGGAAACAAGGATGGTTTGCAATGATAAAAAGTTATGGAGAAATACAGAGAAAGGTATTTATTTAAAGTAGATATAAACAGTTTCCTTTTTTGTCCCTCATGATATATTATTATTATTATTATTATTATTATTATTATTATTATTATTATTATTATTATTATTATTATTATTTCTTTAGTGAGATTCACAGCCTTTGGGGGTGGGTAGTAGCTCAACAGCTCGAGTCCTAACGAAGCCCTAGGAACTGTTCAGGTAGCGTCGGAGGATATACGCTGTTCCAAATAGGGTGGTTTTTTGTAGAATCAGGGTATTCAAGTCTGATAAATTCAAGATTTCCAAATAGCGAGGTAGCCCTTTAGGTATTGCTCCAAGGGCTCCAATTACAATTGGGATAACACACCATTTCTTTTTCCAAAGTCGCTCAACTTCCATTTGTAAGTCCCGATACTTTGTGATTTTTTTTCTTGCTGCCTGTCTTTAATTCGTGCATCACCAGGTATTGCAATGTCAATAAACCAACCCTTTTTCTTTTTCTACTGTTACGTCAGGTGTGTTGTGGGGCCAAGTGCCTGTCCATCTGAATTCTGAAGTCCCACAAGATCTTGACTTTTTCATTCTCCAGAACCTTCTCAACCTGATGTTCCCAGTAGTTGTTACTATACTCAAATCCAAACTTTTGGCAGTTTCCAGTGAACTACTACTACTACTACTACTACTATTATTATTATTATTATTATTGGCTTCCTTTAAATTAATATATTTCTGTACTCTGCATTAAGCTAATTATCTTGAAAGGGGATGTCACAATGAGTAGCCAGGCATATATATATATATATATTTTAAAAGACATTTCATATAAATAAACAAATTATTAAGTCCTTTAAAATGTCACATATAGCACAGCTTTGTTACACACAAACCTGGTGCGTAGTTAGATAGATACAACTTATCATACAGAATACACAGATAATAGGGAGGGAGAAGTAAAAGAAAAAGAAAAGGATATTAATTTAACAAAGAGGTAGTCATATCAACTCACCACCCCAGCTATCTCTTTGGAAATACACTATTTAGTGGTGGTGTCCCCCCATCTTCTGCCACTCCATTTTCAAGTAAATTCTTTAGACAGAATGGAACTTTTAAGGCACAGTTAAGTGAAATTCTTTACTGGTACTGACATTAGAGGATGCTACATTGCTTGGACAGCCAAAACCAACTGAGGTTAAGGAGTGGGGGGGGGGGTGAAGCTTGGGGAGAAGAAAAAAATGACCAGCAGGAGGTGCTGTGCCAGCAGAAGTAACAATAAGACTGACTTTCCCACCCTATTTTCTCTCCCTGCCCCACCCCCCAAATCTCTCAGGTGTTTGAGCCAAAAGTTCTCCTGAGGCAAAGCCAAATTATAAACATAATAAAAAATTATAAATGTAATAAAATGCATGCGCAAATTTAAAACCATTGATTCCAAGAGTCCAATATTCCTACAAATTCACCACAGCTAAGCACCCCAAAACCCCTCTCCCAGCTCCAAGCCAGCCCTCCTAAGGTTCAGGCCAGCCAATACCTGATAGTTCATGATGGCTCGTAAACACAAGATGCACACGTGCACATCGTCTTTCTGGCTCACCAGCCGTGAGTTCTTCAGAGCTTTTCTGCTGGGAAGGGTGGTATATCTGGCAAAGAGAAGAGAACCCTACATTTAGCAAGGAGCAGTAACCTCTCCAGAAAAATGCTGTCACTTGCCAAGGATGAGGTCACAGCCACAGCTAAGAAGGAACACCGAAATTAGAATCACCAGCTTCTGTCAAGAGATTTGCCCAAGATGTATGTTTTCCTTTGGAAACAGAAAAGTCTGGGTGGCCCCAATACCTTCCTTGCAATCTGATAGCAGCTGTTCTAAAGACAGAAGGCTCCTAGAATTGCCAGTCAGAAGGCATCCTGCAGCTATCCCCTCTTTTCCTATTTTATAGATCTTGGTAGACAGAGAGGTTTGGGGCATGAAGGAAATTAAATAAACGGCAGGAAAAAAAAATATTTTTCCTGGGAAGCAACTTCAAACCATTCAAGGGATTTCCCCCATGTTTTATTTCATTATTATTAATTATTATTATCTATTATTATTTGTTTCTGTTAGGAAAAAAAGCCTTAAAAAGCCTCAAAAAGTTACTTTAGCAAAATGAAGGCATGTGTTGTTTTTTATCAGCCCAAATCGGGAAAACCCAAACCAAGACACTTAAGCAAATCAATTTAAAAAAATTTTTTTAAAAAAAAACAGGAGAGAAAATTATATTTTTCTTGATGGAAAATAATCAAAAAATTGGAAGAAAATAATATCTTCCACAAGGAATAGAGAAACTAGCTAGTTCCCAAAAGAGTGGCATGTAACCTAAACATCTGAGCGGCAGAGAGAAACTAGAGGTGAACGCTTCTCAGATGTCATCCCTAGAAAAGAATGTTCAGTTAAGAGAGGACATCTGCAGAAGTTATCATGATAAAATTTATTTTTTCTCCTCAAATATTCAGTTCTATTCCTTTCCCTGCTTGTGATGATCCAAACTATAGCCTTGAATGAGATGCAGGAAGGCACTGGACTTTTCAGAGCTAATATGGGTATTATCCAATACAGCATTCTAATGCCTACCATATACTTTGAATTATGGTCCCACAATCCCTTGCTCATCATGCTGGTTGGGATAGATGAGAGTTGAAGACTAAAATTTTTGGACGGCATCTATTTCCATATCCTGCATATTATCATCATTGCAGCAACAGTTTACCAATTGACTTTCCCTCTGAAGGTACCAGTGCCATCACAGCAGATGGCTGTGCTTTTTAGCTGCCCCTTTGAGCAAGTATAAACTCCCTGAAGGCTCAATCTTTTAAAAGCAGCTGATTTTCTTTGGGCTTTTTTAGCCTGAGCAACTTGGCTTTTCAGGTGCAGGTTAAACCTGTCTCTCAATCCATATGTGTCTCCTAAACCACCCACTTGCCTTCGAACCAAAAGCTATGGACTACAGGGACTCTTGTCCAGAGGTGGTATTCAGCAGGTTCTGACCAGTTCTGGAGAACCAGTAGTGGAAATTTTGAGTAGTTCAGAGAACCAGCAAATACAACCTCTGACTGGCCCTGTCCCCATCTATTCTCTGTCCCCTGAGTCCCAGCTGATTGGTTGGGTCTTCTTTTGTTGCCCTGCACAGGAGAACGGAGCTGGAAAGTAGGTTAGTGGGGTGGGGAGGGAATGGGGATTTTACAGTATCCTTTTCCTGCCACACCCACCAAGCCATGCCCACAGAATCTGTAGTAAAAGAAAATTTGAATACCACCACAGCTCTTGTTCACATGCCCACATATATCTGCATACCTGTGATATACATCACGGTATGCTGCGACATAGCACCCAATTCAAGAATACTTACCAGGATAATAAGGACAGGGGAGAAAAAGAGAGAGAACAGGAGACCCAGCAAAGACAGGCAAACAGAGCAGGGCAAAGGACAAGGCCTGGAGCAGAGAGGAGACCTGGCCAGCTACCCACAGAGGAACATCAAGGGGGAAGAGTGGGAATGAGAAGAAGAAATCAGCACACGGCATCCCCTGGAGGGCAGAAAGCAGGGCAGGTTTATTACTGTATGAGTAGCACCGCTGAACAGGATACGTACTGGAGGTTGCGCGGCAAGACAGAGGTACATACCGGAGAGCGGACTGGCGCGCAGAGCGAGCAAGGCTGTTGGCGTAGGGAGCAGACAGGGTGCTGGGGTGATGCAGATCCTCTATGGACCTGCTCCAAGATTTCAGCTTCTCTAGCGCTCCATCCTCGCTATTTTCCAGACCCTCAAAATCAAACCTGGAGGGCAGACAGGGAACATACACCATACACACAGGGAAGCTTTAGGGCAAAAGCCGGCACAAAGGGGTCAAAAGCTCTGGGTTTCCCAAAAGGATGGATGTTTCTGCAAGCCGCAAGTCAGCAACATGGAACATGACAAGGTGGGAATTTGATAGTCCTCTCTGTGGGTAAAATCTCAGCATACAGAAATCACTGCTGCACACAAAAATTCCCAGGGCAATTTTACAGTATGGTTACACCAGTACAGAAGCTACAGTATATTCCCCACCCTGTGGGTTGAATTTGTATTAAATACAGTCTTTTCTGGCATCACCTTGTACTATTTGACCTGCAGTTCAGTTGTCCTTCATAGACTATAGTGTTTGCATTACGATACGGCTAAACGGCTCGATTTCAGGCATGTATCTTGGGAACAGCTGGTTCCATTTGTGCTGACTTCTGGATGGAGTTACTATTTTATAATAGATTTCTGTAGCAGATGAAGGAAGTTCCTTGTTAAAGGAGGAATAGTTTTCCCAATGGGATGCTTTTTGGTAAGTCATTTTTATGGTGTTCTTTAAATTTGTGAACAGTGTTAAGCTGATAGTGGCTCCTAGTCTCTTTAAAAGGTCAATTCAAAAAAAGGAACTTTGGAGTTCTAAACAACCTGGGATGAAGATATACGAAAAATCCTCTTGTCTCAGGCTATTTCTGAGTGTTAAGATCTACAAATCCTTTCTAGATTTCTACGTTTTTTCAGTCACGGCATTCCTACTTCAGTGCATTCTCATAGAGCAGCTCTGGTAAATCCTTGTATTTTGATGAAGTTCAATAACCCCCCTAAATCACATTTTTGTGGTACAATTCAAATCCAAATATAAGCTATTTTGCACAATGGTGTGTTCAATTAGAACTGCTCAATTCTTTTACGCTTCAAGAATGGAAAAGGTAAGAATGCAAGTTTCAGATACCTACATTTTTATGTTTTGGCTAGATTACTGATTTTAAAAATGAAGATACTGGACAATTGGAAGAAAAACAGTCAATCTCTGAAAAAAAAAAATTTTTTTTTGGTTGTTTAAAATAATTCACTCCAAGATCCCTGCTTCCTGAGAGTGGGATAATTTGAAAAAAGGAATGACATAAACTGCCAAGGCAGAAAGATCAAGATAAGAATTTTTGAGGATAAGGAGACAACTTCAAGAAAATTCACCTTCCAGCCAGAACTAGTTTAGGATAGAAAATAGCATCTTTGCAGATTACCTCATCCCCCACCTTTCCTGATAAAGAGATACACTACATGTACATACCTTGAGCTCCCTTGTCTGTTCAGCCCTTGGGACTTAACTAGCAAGGACATTTGGGCAAATCCAAGGTGGAAGTGTCCCAACAGAAGCAAGAACAGAGCCGGTTAGGTCTCTGGAGTGTTCCTCAAAACAATTGCCAGAAATTTTTTCCCCTCTTGTTTTGATATCCTTTGGTCTTTCTTTTCATGTTTCTGTTAGGATACCTAAACATTATTGCAAAATGGAATTCTATGGCCTTTCCAACTAATTCTTGAGGACTCTGGGGACCAATTTAGGCCATCTGTTGGAGGCTTCATGAACAGTGCGATCAAAGCAATATGCAGTTTATTATTGTAACGGCACAACATCAACCCAACCCCCTTTTAAAACCATCTTTCTGATACTCTCTTGTCTCTCAACCAAGCAGCAGACAGCAGGGAAGAAAAGATTTACATAAGTTTTGAAATTAAGCCTCAGAGCCACATATTCTTCTATATCTTCAAGCTGCCATCCCTAGTCTACGACCTCCTGTATGGATCAAGCATTAATAGAACTTCAGATCTCCTTTTTTGAAGCAACAAAAAGAAAGGCAGACAATATCTTTCACTTGCTGCATTTTCAGTTTCAGTTCAGAAAAGTGGAACATCTTAATTATAATGTGATTAATAAACTAATGAAATGCTAGACAATTAGCCAACTCTCAAGTCTTTGTACCTGTCATTTTTATTTATGTTGTTAGTCTACCAAGACATACACGCCACACAGCCAGCAATTTTTTTCACGGAAGTACCTCTAATGCAAACTACTATCTGCAAGTGCCAGTTAGGGAGACTTTCATAATGAGCAGAAAACCTGGCATGGAAAATGCTGAAAGCAACATGTAAATTCTTCTCCGTCTGGGAATCTGAATGAGATGAAGGGTCCCACATATAAAACCAGGCTTCCAAAATATCACAACCCACTCGGTATGCAAACCTCATGATGTCTTCTTATAACTGGCACTGTTAAGAATGTATATGATACCAACATGAAATATCTACATAGGTAGGGGATATTGTGAAGAAGGAAGAAGAGCCAGGGCAACTTGACAATAACACAGTTACTTACATCACTGCGCATTGAGCAAATGAGAGGTAGTCCACCAGCACATCTAGGCCTTTGTTTTCATCGTTGAGAAATTCACGCACCCACCTGCAAAAATAAATAAAATTAAAAATTGACTCCAAAATATTATTACTCCAGATATTTTCTGATGTGACTTACTGACTGTGTTCAAAGTCAAACTGTGGCACTTTTGAAAGTCTATCTTTCCAACCACCTGTTCTCAACCTAATGGGATAACAATTTCCAGGATTTCCAGCTGACAGAGGACTGTCTCTTTATATTTTCAAATAGCGTTTAAAGGTTTTATTCATCTGTCCAGTTTTGAAGCCATCTGACTCCTGGACCACTCTGGGCAGCCCACAGATAAAGAAAAAAAAATGCAACAATGATGGCCTTCTTGACATGTAAGCATAGAGCTGCCCTAGATATTAACTTGGAATCTTTCAGTGGAGTCACATCCATGCCTTTTCTTTCCTTGAATGCTGCCAGCTACCCAATATAATTTTCTCCTCTTTCTTTCTCCTCAGGGGTCTTCAGGTTCATAGGTTCACACTGCCATTTCATCCATTTGATTGTGGCAATTCAAATAATTGCAACTCTCAGGAATGAGAATCTGAGTTTATAAGCACACTGAAAATTGTAATATTTTGGCTAAAACTGATCTCATCCTCTTCCTCCTTGTTGGTTTTTCTGTTTCTATATTTTATAACCACTGTTTATGCTTGATTATGCCTAATCTTATTTTAAATTTAAAGATTTCAGGGATGGATTTTGCCTAAAAAGACAAGGCATTAATTAATTATAAATTAAATTAGACCAGCATTCCCCAACCTTTCCAGACTGCGGGGTGGGGAGACGGGATGGTTCTGTGTGAGCAGCGGGCAAGTGTGTACATGTGCCACAACTCCATTTGTGCGAGTGGTGAGCATACGCACTGGCCGCTCGCATAAATGAAGCGTGTGAACATACGTTTGCCCTCTGCTTGTACAGGTGCATGCTTGCCCACTGCTTCTGGCAGCCCACTTCTGAACAGCTCGAGGCCCCTGAATTAGAAGGATAGTTTGGGTGTTCCATACTAGCAGGCTTGTAGGCCTGCATTCCTATTGGTCCGGAAAAGCCGGGCCGTGATTGGACAGAACTAAGCGTTCTGATTGGTACTTATTTGGCTGCTGCGATTGGGTAAAACCAAATGCGGCAAGCTCAAATGCATGTCATAGGCTGCCTAGCCGCAGCCAGCTCTATAAAAGGAGCTGCCTTGGCTGGGAGTCTTGTCTCAGTATCTGGTTTCCTAATAAAGAGCTGTTGTCACTATTTCGAGTCTCGTCTCTCCTTGGGACCCACCGCCCAGATTAAACATTGGGCATACAGAATCTTGCACAAATATCACATTCACTGCCTCCTATAAAGTGCTGAATTAGTACTTAAAGCACGGTTTCCAAAACCATGAGGTATATTGCCCTCAGAGAGGTGTTAGAGATTGAGTTCAGGGGAGGGATGAAGAACCTTTTAGTTGTGCATTGTTATAGTACAATAAATCCACATTTCCCATTATATTGTTTTCATTGTTCATTTAGGCTTTTGGATTTTTAGGGGAGGCATGAATATTAAGATTACACTAAAGGGAAGTATGATGACAAAATGTTTAGGATCCCCTAATTTAGATACATGAAAACTCATATGAATCACAACAGTCTGGGAGGGCAGCCTGTTCAATGAAGCTCAACTTGAAGATTCATGGAGTTATAACTGGAATTGTGCATGGAAAGCAAAGATGCTCCAATGGGAGGATGTCCCTTCCCAATGGGAAATTCCCTCTCAAAGACCACAGTCAAGTGAAGGCCTATCTCCAGCCTAGACATCAGACATCAACAATTCTCAAATAACCATTCAAGCTCAGCTTATTTTTAGGACTATGTCCAGTCTGGAGTTTTGGACTGATGTATATAAACTGGACAGAGTTCAGAGAAGACAGAAGAACATGATAAATTCAGAAGGAAATCAGCCACTATGGCCCACCCAATGTGTGTTCAGGGAGATTGCAGTAGCCTCTCGTTGTTGTAAACAAAATATTGTAACTAGTACAACTTTATCTTTCCATAGCAGGGAAGGGAGTGTTTGCTTAGGTTCCAAGACATCTGCTGGAGATCCCTCACCCTCCTGTAGTCTTTGATGCAAGGAGGGAAAGTGGCACGAGAAACAAATCTGACAAATCTGTAGGCAAAGAATCGAACTGTACTTGTTGGGTAGCATCAAACGAAGCTGTGAATGTGTGTGACTTTGTACATGGAGATGGGCCAACCCAGGAACAAGTACTGTGCATCATAAGAGAGAGAATGCCTGCAGCTAGTGGTTTCAGTATGTGCTGTTATTTCCTGAAGCAGCTTTGGCTGACTGCAATTTTGACCATTAATCATCCAGACCCTGAAATGGTGCCTATAGTCAGTCAGTCAGAGTCCCTCTCTCCCTCTCCCTCTCCCCCACCCTCTCCCTTCCTCCTTCCCTCCCTCCCTCTCTCTCTCTGTCTCTCTCCACCCGCCCATTTCCTGCCTGTCTGAACTTCAGCCTCCAACCCCAGTGTGTTTCCTGTCTGATTTCAGTGGCTGCAACTACTAATTTAGAGTCTTCAATGCATTTGTTGAAGGCTAAAGGATGTGGAGGAAGGAGCAAAGGCTCTCTAAGGCAAATCCCATCCTGTAGTCAGGTAAGGAAGAGGAATTACGAGTGGTTGTGTTTTTTTTAAAGTGTGTGCTTATATAGAGGCTTCTTTACAAATGCATCTGCTGCTGTGCCTATTTAACCACAGCTGATTGGCAAAGCACATGTTTTATATATATATATGTATATATGGGTGTCTCAAGGATTTACGCTAAACATTTCTCAGTCTCTGACCTGGAGCGCCATTGTCAATTGCAGCAAATACCAGACTAGATCCACCATGCCTTTGACAGTGCACAGTCGTTTTATGCCTTTGTTGGAAAGAATAAATCTTCAAGAGCATGTGAGAGACAAGGCACAGATGTGAGCAAGTACCTGCATGCACCGGTATTCATTTATGTACGTGGCGCAAACTGGGCTTAGGAAAGTCCCACAGACTGCTTTTAATCAGGAAAATCAATAATAACAACATTTCAGCCCCATCTGTATTAAGAGCAGAGAAACAGGGAAATGAGATGCAGTTGCCTATAGGGAAAATATATTGTTTCTCCAGAGGTTCAAACAAATGGCCCAAAAAGGGAGGGAGGGAGGGAGGAAGGAAGGAAGGAAGGAAGGAAGGAAGGAAGGAAGGAAGGAAGGAAGGAAGGCAGGCAGGCAGGCAGGCAGGCAGGCAGGCAGGCAGGCAGGCTTGAAAAAGTTTGGGGAGATCCTTGCTGGGTTACATTATGGCATCTCTTTTCTACTCTAAATTAATTTAGTTGTTTGTTTGTTTATTCATTCATTTGTTTGTTTGTTTGTTGAACAAAAATTATAAATTCAAACAAACAAACAAAAATCCTAACCTCCGACAGGGACAATAGGCACATCAGTGCATTTACACATGCCTCCTCTAACCTCTTAAATATGGAATGAGGTCCACAGAAGTTATTAGAATTAAAACTCTAAATATTAGTAGCTGGGACAACTAAATTAGGTAAGATATTTCAGACTTCGACAGCTCTGTTACAAAAGTCTATTTTTAAAAAATCTGAATAGACAAGCCTGATGTTTACAGGAAAGCAAAAGAAATTTTATCAAGGACATGTAGTTTATTTGTAGCACTTTAAGATTGCCTACAAGAAGCAGGTTACCCTCCAAGATTGCATACATGAGCAAGGATTGTCTTTTGTCCTTGCATGCTTCCTTCTCCCCCAGAGAATGAGAATCTGTTTCCCCTACACCCAACCCTCTCTCCCATCTCAATCATATCTTTTTAAAGTCTCTGCCAAAATTCTGCTGTGTCCAAGTCATACGCTCCAAATTATACTCTTATCATGGTTGTTCCCTTTTTAAAAAACAATCAAAGCTAAGCATTCTACACCAAATTATTCCTGATTCCACTTCCAGAAATGTTGAGTTCTGTGGCTAATTGCCTATTGCAAATATATGCTTTTGGTAATTATTGGCAGTGGCAAAAAGTACAGTAATAGCTGGGAGTGATGGAAATTGTAGTCAACAATATCATGATGGCACTACCAGAGGTGGTATTCAGCAGGTTCTGACCAATTCTGGAGAACCGGTAGCAGAAATTTTGAGTAGTTTGGAGAACCAGCAAATATCTCCTCTGACTGGCCCCGCCCCCATCTATTCTCCGCCTCCTGAGTCCCAGCTGATCAGATGGGTCCTGCTTTATTGCCCTGCACAGGAGAATGGAGCTGAAAAGCAGATTAGTGGGGTGGGGAAGGAATGGGATTTTCCAGTAACCTTCCCCTGCCACACCCACCAAGCCACACCATGCCCACCAAGCCACACCCACAGAACCGGTAGTAAAAAATTTTGAATCCCACCACTGATGGCATGGCATTTGTTTTACATTGGTAATCCTCACTGACAACTTCACCACCGCAATGAAACCAGGTTTTCATTGACATACACGTTCAATTCTATTTTTGTAGACTAAGACCAGAAAATGTTGGGAAATTATTATGGGTGGATTCCAATTTAGTTTGTACCCAGTTCATTCCAAGTTACTTCCTTTACTGAGATGTGAGAAAGTGCCCAGCTTTCAGCTCAATCAGCAGATTATATAAACATATAAAAAGCTCAGCAAATATCAAAATAGGTACCTGGCCAGGGAAAAGAGAGAGATGAACCACAGGCAAGAATTCCTATTATCTATACATCTATCTGTATCTACCAAAAGCCAACTTTCAAAACTACTAGAAACTGCACTGTAGGTGCAGCATGGACAATGGACAATCCCAAAGGGAATGACCTTTGGCTATTCCAGCCTTAACTCTCTTATGTACATAAAAGCATGAAATTAGAGATGGAAAGAAGACACTGAATAATCCCTCCTTTATTCTGCACCATAAAGGAAGCAACTGGAAGCAACTGGTAGGTGGGAAGGAAATATCCAACAGAAAAACTGAAGCTTATTGACTGTTGATCTGCTCAGCAACATAAATTTCTGAGTTTTGCCTTGCAGAAGAGATGCTAGCCCAGTAATTCATGTCTTCTCATTATAATGTTTAGTTCTTAGTAAAACAGTTGTCCCATAAATAGTTTACGTGACTCACTATTATGAAGCAGAAAAAAATTACCTGTATTGATTTTCAGTAAAATCTGCACATATAATTTTTTCTCATTCTTTTTAAGGTAACCAAAGCATGAAATATTGTTCCAAGAAATAATTATACAACACTTTGCCATTTTTCATGCCACATAGAAAAAAACAATTATTTTTGTCATCACAATAGAACATGGGTCTTCAGTGTTGCTAATAATAATAACTGAAACCTGACATTTATAATATCTTTCCCAATTGCTGAAATAGTTCATATCTACTATGAGAATAGAGGAAAGACTGCTTGCTTCAAGGTGGTTTAGTAAACTATTAAAAAAATCACTTTACATTTTCAGCAGTCTCGATACATTCTTTCACCTTGATCAGTGCTATGACTAGCCGAAGGAAGAGAATACCATTTGATGCCAGGAAATTATTTGTTAGTAACATTATGGTGCTTTGGGGGAGAAAACTGTGCTGTTTTTCCTGTTTTTTTTCTAATAAATAATAGCATACCTAGCTATCCAGGACAAACAGTTCTAGTAGAAGAATCCAAACCAGATTTTCAAATGGTCTGATTGATACAACACTTTCAATTTTCAGTGTTTTTATTATAGACTGCACGGCAAATTTTCCATCCCATTAAATAAAATTAGTAGCTTTTAAATAGAATTGGTATGCTGCTTAAAGAGGCAGTTGGAGTGAAGTAAAGGGATTAATGTCCTGGTTTAAGATCAGAAAATTCCAAAATCACCTTCCCATTTTGTCTGAATGACTTTGGGCAGGTTATTGTCTTTCAGGCCCAATTCTATCTTTCAGAGTTGAGCTGAGGATAACATGGCTGAATCATACCTCTAGTAGTTTCTAGGCCATGAAAAAGGATGTGCTTATTTTTCAGGGGCTTCTAATGTTCTTTTTCCCTCCCTCTCTCTCTCTCTCTCTCTCTCTCACACACACACACACACACGCACACACACGTGAACTATATATCTGGATTTCCCGATTTTAGTCCTTTGCATCCACAATTCACTGTCTACTGTAATTCAGCTTATGGGATGGGGTGGGGAATGTCCTTAATTCTGAACTCTATGCTCTGAAGAACAACTAAGTATTGCGTTAGTGAAGAATTCTGGATTAAAAAGACTGAATATTTTTTTTCTGACACTGTATGCACTATGTTTCTCTTTAGAAAGTCATACATGTACCTTATTCCACCATATGTAAAATATTTTATTGTGCCTCACGCTCCTGGTGTTTGGCCTTTTCTTGTCCCTTTCAAATTCCTGAATCTCACACCTCATGTTATTGTTTGTTCAGACCTCACCAAAGGATACTGCTGACTAAGCATCACCCTTGGTGTCAGTTCCAGCCGACCTGAGGAATTCCCACCCAACCAGGCCCAGAAGCCAAGGACAGGAACAGTTCAGCTTCCTGCTCTTGTTGGTGTTTCTCTTCCAGCTGGAATCATGACAGGTGGGAGATAGGAACACATTTCTCAATTCTTCCAGGCTTCCAAATCTTTTAGATATGATACAAATCCCTTTGCTAGGGTGTAGAAATCTAGACGTGAAATTTAGGGAGTAAGGAAGGCAGGGGATTAAATGTTTTCTTGTACAAAACCTTTGAGTGGGAAATGGCTCCTATCTTAAATCCAATTTCTTGTCAGACTGAAGGGCTGCATAGAAAGAGTTTAAGTCAGAAAAGACCCAGATCAATTTTCTTCCTTTGACCAATCACCTTCTGGCCAGGTTCTCACAACATGCTAAACCCTAAACTAAAATTAACATAACAGAATTGTTGTGTTCACATAGAATGTTATGCCTACTCCACACAAATAATCCTTTTTATAGCTTAATGCAAATTCACACAATATATTTATAAGAAATGCTGGTCCATAATCTTTATAGTTTAATCAGATACGATGTGCAAAACCCACAACTATATGATCCCTGGATAGACCTCCCTGGATAGTTTTGGTTTGACTACTAAGGATCAACCATTTACTGCTATTCTGTATTGGTTTAAAGGCCAGCCTGACTATATAAAAATGGTGTGAATCACAGCATGAATTCATGCAATCCAGCAACCAGAGAGAAAACACCCCAGCCCTGTGAGAGAACAAACACCATCAAATTCAATATCTGTTCAAGTGGCACTTTCTAAGACTTCAACGTGACACATGCTACAATTGTTCAACAGCTTGTTTAACAATAACTTACCCAATGTGATTGGTCCTTAAAGAGATCTCCAGCTCCCTCAGCACTTTGGTGGATTCCTGCACCCTCCGACGGAACTTCTGTAAGCATAAATAACTCCTTGTTCTAACAGTATACAGCACAATCATTTTTTTACACAAATGAACCAAGATGCAGGGACAGGATTGTCCATCAGGTTAAGTGTACTGGCATTTCCTTTTCTATCACTCTTCATATCCTTTAACTTCCTTTTTGTTCATAAAAATAATAAGTTTACCATTAGTTATAGATAATCATCAACAAGGTGGGTATTTCCATAGGTCAGAAGGACCTGGGCTTAATTCAATGGTCACTGTATCTTTTTTGCTGAGTACAAATAAAATATCTCTCCTGTAAAGCAAGGCCTGAACTGCAGAGGTCCAGAGGTGGTTTTGAGGAGTATGAAGACTGTGTGTAGAAGTGACCATAGAATACACTTTGTGCGTTCAGCGCTGCCACATTGCTGCCTGCCCAGTGAATTAGTACATAGATCACCAAAACTTGTGGGGCTGTAAAGTATATTTATTTTTCACAATTACAACTGTGGTATCTTCCACTCCAATGACTTATCCTAGGGGTGTCAAACTCAGGTCATCATGGCAGCATCATGTGACATATTGGGACTTTCCCCCCCTTTGCTAAACCAGGCATGGGTGTGGCCAACACATGACGCATCTGGCCCAACGGCTGGGAGTTTGACAGCCCTGACTTACCTCTTACACAGGTAATCCTTAACTTACAACCACAATTGGGATCAGAATGTCCATGGCTAAGCAAGATGGTTGTTAAATAAGTCACCCTTGATTTTAAGGCCTTTTTTGCCACAGTTGTTAAATGAATCAGTGCAGTTGTTAAATGAATCAGGCAGTCATTAAGCTAATCCATTTCTCCCCCATTGATTTAGCTAACTGGAAGTTGGCTAGCAAGCTCACAAAAGGTGATCACATGACCTTGAGACACTGCAACTGTTGAAAAAGTACATGCTGGTAGCAAGAGCCAGAACTGACTGTGTGACTGTAGGGATGCTGTTACAGCCATAAGTTCATAGGCTGGTCATTGCTTTTGTAATGTAATTTTGAATAACCACTAAACAAATGGTTGTTATATTGAGAACTACTTGCACTTCATTGGTTTTAATTTGATAGCAGATAATGCTCCGTTTGGGCCAATCTTTGGTATACTCAGGGGTGGGTTTCAATTTTTTTTCCTATCGATTAGGAGAGCGCGCTTTGAGCACACACACGCACTTGCCAAACACATGCTTTGCGCGCAAGACTCAAAGACCGCCCTCGGTATCAATGCTGGTGAGCTGTGCTGTTTTTTAGCTCAGCTGAGGTGCGGCAATCCGCTCAGCCACGCTAATCAGCTGAGCTAAACAACAAGGGGAATATAGGTGAGGTAAGAGTAGGGGCGGGGGGGGGGGGGGGGAGCCAGCCAGAGGTGGTATTTGCCGGTTTTCCGAACCAGTCAAAATTTCTGCTAGTGGTATGCCAGAACCAGTCCGAACCGGCTGAATACCACTTCTGGGTATAGAAGTCCCAAAGGTGCTTTTTCAGGAGGCAACCGGACTTTCTTGTTTTTTCTTTGAAGATGTTTTACTTCTCATCCAAGAAGCTTCTTCAGCTCTGACATGATAGTAAGGAGTGGAAGGATCCTTCAAAGACTCTCTAAAGCTCCAAGTGCTTCAACAACCTTTTAAAAGGATGCAAATTACCAGCTGTCTTGCAAGGAATATAAATCCTTTCATTCCCCAGCATCAGGTCAGAGCTGAAGAAGCTTCTTGGATGAAAAGCAAAACGTCCTCAAAGAAAAAACAAGAAAGTCTAGTTTCGTCCTGAAAAAGCACCTTTGGGAAAACCATTACTTGGATGACTGAGAATCTCTAAGACCTTTGTTATATTATATAATTTGGTATACCAAAAAAATGCTTTGGTATACTATGGGGGAGGAGAAGGGGAGAGCTGTTTCTTTGGTCATCATCCTCCAAACACTGGAAACCATTTTAGATTTAGAGTAACTTCATTGTCATATTAAATCTACATCAATCGGCATACATTAAAATAAAATTTCATTGCATATAGTTCTCAAAGGGTCGCCACCAGGGGTGGGATTCAAATTTTCTAACAACCGGTTCTGTGGGCGTGGCGTAGTTGGTGGGCATGGCTTGGTGGTCATGTTATTGGCTGGGCGTGGCCAACTCAACATCATCACATTGAGGCACGCATCTCCTCACCTGGCCTCTCATGACTGTCGTAAGTGTGAAAAATGGTCATAAGTCAGTTTTGTCAGTGCCATTGAATGGTCACTCACACAAGCAAAGTACCAGCAAAGGAGCGGAAAAAAACTCCGGAGAAGTTCCTGAGACAGGAAGTCTAGTCCTGCCAAGAACATAATAAGGGCTAACAGAGAGGCAGTTTCTGTAAGTAACACCAGAATGTTTCCTTCCTGCCTTCCTTACAGGATTAGGCCAGTAATTTATTTTAACAACCGGTTCTCTGAACTGCTTCAAATGTTAACAACTGGTTCTAGCGAATAGGTGTGAACTGGTAGAATCCCACCCTGGGTCGCCACTTACAATATACACTACATAAACATGATGAAAAAAATTATGCATATACCCACATATATGATACAGGGAAACCATGCAATCTAGTATACACCCCAAAAACTAATCTTGCGAGTTTATAAGATGCATTAAAGGAGTCTTTAAGGCTTACCTTTCGGGTAACACCCGGATCGAGGAAGCTCTTCAATTTCTGTATATATGTATGGGGTGGATTTTTCACTTGAAACCTTTCCTGTTGGGTAGTGAAAAAGAAATGGAGGAAAGAGATAGAGGGAATTATTGTGTATGCAAGAAATATTTGAGAGCACTAGAAAGCTACATTGTGGATTTATTAATTCTACAACTCTTCCCCTCAGCATAAAAAGGAGCTGTCACTTGCATTGAAAGCATGCCAACCAGGGACTGAACTTAGGTACTTACTAATCCAAATAGCAGATGCTTCTTTATGTCTGCTTCCCTAATAAACGTGAAAGGAAAGCCATTTTCATTTTGTGCTCCGCACAGATACTTTCTGCTCTGGCTCCTCAATAGCCCTGTTCTTGTGCTCACATGTTAGAAAAGTCCCTATAACTTCCAGATTGTAAGACTAGGCACAATTGCTCTGTTGAAGAGTTTTACTTCTAAGCGCACAGGAATATAGGATCAGGTTATAAATAATCCAACTGAAAACCATTTTCTTAGCAAATTGCCTGCCTACTCACAGACCTGCGAAAAGAATATTCTGAATCCATGAACATTGTTTCAAATAAATTGATGGAGTTTGGGCATTTAAGCTGTGGCTCCTACTTCAAGATCAAATGCCTTTTTGTATGAGATTGGTGATTGTAATTAATGTCCTATATTTGGCTTTGATCAAATATAGTATCAGTCTGATCCAGCAGCCTCCTCTAATTTTATGTAGTGTCCATTTACATGCATATGTTTGGGTGTAGCAGTTTTTTACAGGATTTGGTTTCCTCCCCAGATAGTTTCTCCTGGTAGTTCATCTCATAAAAAGCAATTTTCCTTTAAAATAACCCAAACATCTCAGGGACTTTGTGCCCCTGTACTGCTCTTGAAAAAAGTTTCTGGGCTGAAGCACACAATCACTTTTCTTGGCCAAACTCCCCCAGTTTGAGAGCAGCACTGATGAGTTGCAATTGTTTTACACTTAAATCCTAAATTATTCCAGGTTTGATACAGCCTTCAGAAAAAGGCCCTCTAATTAGCCATGATCTATATTGGCACCATCCTATTTATTTGGCAGTTGGGTCCAGGAAAATGCTAAGATAAATCATTGTAGGGTTTTTTTTGTTGTTGTTTGGTTTAGATGGGGCTTTTTTTAGGGAAATAGGGGAAGAATTAGCAATGAAATTTGTCTGGGCTTAAACAGTATTTTAGGGATACTCCATGAAAAAGTCAGGCCTCTTGCACATTTTAAGTGTTGTTCTCTACACTAGTGTTCTTTAAACATTTTTCTGGGAACCCCCTCCCAGTTTTAAATATAGTAAATATAATAAATATTTATTGAGATTGACCAAATTAAACACTGACATTGATACAGTCACTACACCTCTCGCAATCATTTGAGGGGACTTTACTATTGGTATATTCCATTTCTCATAACATAAGCTGGCAAATAATTTGATTTGCAGGCCCTTGAGAAGGTCTTGGAAGGACTTTCAGGATCCTTAGACTACACTTTGAAAAACTCTGCTCTAAAGAATATCAAATTGACCAAAAATGTCCAGAAAATAAAAAGCACCAAAGCATTTTTTTTCTTCAGTTTGTAACCGAGCTTTACCTAGATCAAATGTAGAAATTTCCCATTACTTACAGGGATAACAGGGACTATTCCTAGATGCCAAAGACTTCATGTACAAAAAGAGCCTTCAGATAAGGAGATGTTGTCTGCTCTTTTAAAGGAAATCAAAGCCCTTAAATCAAGGGGACCCCATGTTATTTCTGGCAATAGTCCTCTTGACTGAGTCATAAGCTGATGTACCCTGACATGTTATGTCTCTTTCATGTTGGCAGTCTCTCTCTCTCTCTCTCTCTCTCTCTCTCTCTCTCCCACTCCCTCCCTCTCGCTCTCTCCCTCTCCATTTTAGCTCCTACAGCCTTCTTACCTGGTCACAGATTAGATCCCATTTCTTCTCATTGTCATATTGCCTCAGAAGACGGGCCTTGTCAGGAGGGAGATTCATAGAGCTCTGTGGAAAGAAGCAGAGGGACAGGTAGTGGAGAGGCACATACCAGACTGCCTTCTGCATCCTGCAATGCATCTTCAGAACTGGGTGTGTGGTAGAATATGCACTGTATTGTTTATATTCTGCAATGGCTGCTGGGCAGAAGGCAGGGTTTATTTTATTATTATTTGTACCCTTCCTTTATTTAATTTTTCAGAATAACTCAAGGTGATCAACATATCCAACATACCGTCCTCCTCCTATTTTCCCAACAACAATAACCCTGTAAGGTAGGTTGAGTTGAGAGTCAACGACTGGCCCAAAGTCACCCAGTCATGGTCAAGGTGTGACTTGAACTCATTACCTCCTGCCCTCCAGCCTGGTGCCCCAACCACTAGATCAAACTGGCTCTTTTTAAACAAAATATCATTCATTCATTTTCATTTATTCATTCATTCAAACCATTTTTATAACTTGAAACAAATTCTGGATGGCTCTCAGGCAATAATTAAAGCAACTTCAATAATAAAACAAAGTAATACATTTATCTATTAAAACCAACAACATTAAAAACCTAGCACCAAAATTAAGCTTCCACATGCATATCTCATAAAATCCTCTCAACCACTTCACTCTATCCCAGTACTTGGGAGGGGGAGCTTGATTTTAAGTGCTTTTTGGAAGGCTAAAGAGGGCAGAGGCCTGCCAAACTGCAAGAAGGGCATTCCATTGGGGCAAGAACTACCATAGAAACAGGCATGGTTCCTAGATCCTATAAGATGTCAATGTTTAAGAGAAGGTACTAGGAGCACATGGGTTGGCAAACTTTCAGGACCCATGAGGACTGGATAGCAGAAGAATGTACTGGCTTGTCGAGAGTCCAGAATTTAATCAAAACCACAGAGCATCCAGGACACTGAAGCTAACAGCCTTCAGCATCTTTGTGCAAGGACCAGCCTTTTGTTACAAGGTACAATTTTTATGGTGCCATCCTGAGCATCTCCATTAGGAAGCCAAGCACACTGTGTTTTGTGGGATGTCCCGGGTGACTGCAGGTAGGGCTGTAGTTCAAACATTTCATTTTGTGCAATTTGGGGGAAAGGGTATGTTTAAACACTTGTAAAACGTGGGACAAACCTCTCTCCACCCTCCCTCTCAAAATTAATTTCTCTTGTATGTCCCTAACCAATTTTTTTTCTGACCCTTGCTCCTACCCTCCAACAAAGGGAGATTCGAATAGAATAGAATAGAATAGAATAGAATAGAATAGAATAGAATTCTTTATTGGCCAAGTGTGGTTGGACACACAAGGAATTTGTCTTGGTGCAAATGCTCTCTGTACATAAAAGGATACATTCGTCAAGAGTCAAGAATCATAAGGTACAACACTTAATGATAGTCATAGGGTACAATAAGCAATCAAATCATAGTAGGAAATGGTCAATAATCACTGGGGGAGGGTTTTGGTAGGAGAGGCAGCTTGGTTAACGAACTGTTTTCCCAGGAAGCTTTGCTAGTTCTCTTTTTTATTTATTTACATTTATTTATCACTGCTCTAGCTCACTCCATTGGTGAACAATTCTGAATATATACTTATCTAACATACATAAATCTGTAAATTTCTCAGCATCTGATGATGAATTCTTTATTATCCTCATGAGGTTTCCATAAACAAATTACGTCCTCTTGAATTTCTGTTTTAAAATCTGCATTTTTACTCTAAGACTGTTTATGTTTTGGATATCTTTTATTATTGTTTAGCTATTAAATTTAAATGCCACCCATTTCACTCCACAAAGCAACCCTTATATGTTTATGAACTTTTTTTAATGACAGTCAGTGTAATATTGTGTTGAAAGCACTGGACTACGACTAAAGAAACTTGAACCCAACCATGGAGTTCACGGGATTACTTTAGGCCAATCTTTCTCGGTTTCAGTCCAACCAACTTCACAGCATTGTAAAAGGGATAAAATTAGGGAAGGCCTCATGTAAATTACCTTGAGCTCTGCCTGTGAAAAAAAAAAGTGGGATACAAATGCAATTAAAATAGAGTTGAACTTTTGTATTTTGTATTTGTATTATTTTATTAAGTATTTATTATAAATTGCCTCAAAAATATAGTGTTACTGAGTTGCAAAACAAACATCTATAAATTGGCCTGGGAAAAGAATGACTGACATTCAAATACTCTAAACAAATGAATATTTTGTCTTCCATTTCCTTTCTCCTGTTTGTTCTGATTGAGAAACATGGGGTTCCAAGTTTGGTATATCTCTTTTGTTTGTCAATGATAACTCAAGTGTTCCAATTCTACCATCCAGACAGATCATCCCAATTTTACTAGAGTGATCTGACCAGCCCATGGCAATTCAAACTGTGAAATGAAAGAATAGTACACGTCAAAATGAGATCACTTCCAATAAAATCAGACATTCCATGATAGCAATGGACGGATGGTTAAAATAGGCAATGCTGAGATTATAACAGGTGGAGTTGCTGGGCTAGGTGATAGAAAATTTTGATCTTGGATGAGATAGGCTCAGAACCAAGTTGGGGAAGCCTGGCTCTCATTTTTCTTTCTCTTTAAGAATGATATCTGCATCAAAGAACAATCTCATGGAAAGAAAATTCTATTCTAGTCTTCTTATTCTCATTCCTATCCAATCCTATTCCAATTCCTATACAATCCTATTCCTATCCTAGTCCATATTTATCTCTGATCTCAGTATATGGAATAGATATGATAGCTTTAGGGCTTAGCAAGAAATAATAACTCAAATGATAAAGTGAAATGAAATTGCCTTACTGTAAAGTATTCTGAATCACACCACTGGTTCACCTATCCATTAATTTGTGCTTTGACTAGAAACATTTCTTCCCATCTTGAAAGCTTCAAGTAAGGTTTTCTCTTAACAATCTGAAATAATTATACATTAACTTAGGGCTGCTGTGGATCCAACATGTGCCTTTATTATCCAGGTTGGTTTGTTTACATTATGGTAGGAAGTGAGCTGAAGGTAGCTTGAAAAGAGAAGGAAGTTTCTTACATCTGCACTTTTTCTATTCTTGTACTTTTTAGTTGGCTCTACAACACAGTAAGACAAAACTAGCATACCTACATACAGTACAAGAAGAAGCTAATCATCTCTCAAACCATGTGTATCTTTTAAAAATTACAAAATGTCACAGTCAAATCCCAAAAAGGAGCCTCTAGTGTTATGGATATACTCAGGGATGGGATTCAAATTTTTTTAACAACTGGTTCTGTGGGTGTGGCTTAGTTGGTGGGCGTGGCTTGGTGGTCATGTTATTCGCTGGGTGTGGCCAACTCAATATCACTCACATTGAGGCACGCATCTCCTCGCCCGGCCTCTCATGACTGTGGGGATGCTGCAACAGTTGTAAGTGTGAAAAATGGTTATAAGTCACTTTTTCAGTGCCACTTTAACTTTGAATGGTCACTCCACACAAGCGAAGTACCAGCAAAGGAGGGGAAAAAAACTCCAGAGAAGTTCCTGGGACAGGAAGTCTAGTCCTGCCAAGAACGTAATAAGGGTTAAGAGGCAGTTTCTGTAAGCAACACCAGAATGTTTCCTTCCTGTCTTCCTTACAGGATTAGGCCAGTAATTCTAACAACCGGTTCTTCGAACTGCTTAGAATGTTAACAACCGGTTCTAGCGAATAGGTGTGAACCTGCAGAATCCCACCCTTGGATATACTGTCCAAATAGGCATGAAAAATGTCTTATGTGCTGTCAATGCTTCTGGCTCTAGTTTTCCCCAGATCTTAAAAGCTGCTAGACTTAAAACTGATTTCTTCATGCTCAAAATAAGACCTAGAAACTTTCCTCCAAAGGTCTCCAACTGGTGGCATATACTACATCAAAATCATCTGTTTCTAAAATTAGGGCGAGTTGAATTTTTTTTCAGTTCCTTGCCTCATTCAGTGGTAGGAATTTCCAGTGTCTAAATCTGTGTCTCTGTGTAAGTTGCATGTAAGCCTTCAAGTCTCTTTGATTCTTGCAAACTACAAGATCAAGTCCATGAAACTTTTTAGGTAACATTTTCAGAAATGGTTTATTTTCACCTCCCTCCGAGGATTAAAATGACTGGCTCAAAGTTACCTAGTTGGCTTCTACTGTTTATTGATGGAGAACTAAAACTCAGGCCTTTCTACTCCAAGGTCAACACTTTAACCACTATGCCAAATTGGCTTTTTTACATGGGTATTTAGATAGTTTTTGACTTACAACAGTTTGCTTAGTGACCATGCGAAGTTACAGTGGTTCAGAAAAAAAATGACATGACCGGTTTTTTTAACCCTTACAACTGTTGAGGCACTTCCCTGGTCACATGATCAAAATTCAGATTCTTGGCAACCGATTCATATTTATGATGATTATATAGTGTCCCGTGGTCCTGTGATCACCTTTTGTGACTATCTGACAAGCCAAGTCAATCGGGAAACCAGATTCAGTTAACAACCGTGTTACTAATTTATCAATTGCGGTGATTCACTTAACAAATGTGGCAAGGAAGGTCATAAAAAGGAGCAAAATTCACTTGACAAATGTCTCACTTAGCAACAGAAATTTTGGGCTCAATCATGGTCGTAAGTCAAGGACAACCTATATTATACATCCCAAGTTCTCACTGATCCAGGGTTTTACAAGTTTTGCAAGAGGTTCAGGCATGCTTAATACTATACAGCTGCACAGGAATTATCCCAAGCTACATATTTCCCCTCTCACGTTCAGCCACATTTGTTCCCTCCCACCTTCTTCAGTAAATAAGTAGAGAAAGTAGAACATAATGCCTTTAGCCAACAATGTCTGCCAGAAGGAGCCTCTTTTATTTTTCCTAGGCAAGGAAGCATTTGCTTTCAGGAAATGACCCCCCCCCACCCACCCCAAAAAAGATCCTAAAAATAAAATCAAACATGACTCATTGCATGTGGTGGTCAGGCTATGATACACTCAGCAGTTGACACAGTTCCAGAGTTTCATACTGACAATACAAGAA